AGCACAGTATTTAGAAGGCAAGTTATAAAAATTTGGAAGAACTAATAATGCACTGACGCAGACAAAAATCAAACGAATACTAAATTTCATTTATCAAAAGCATTCGATAGTCGTGGCTTAACGATAACCATTTAGTCGCACGGCGAGGTTGTCACATATGCTTTAGTATACAAATGAATGAATGATTTTATTCGAATGAAACCATTCGATAGTTGAAATCATTCATTCAGTAACCATTCGATAGTCTAATTCATTCGATAGTTCCCATCGCTAGTTATTATTATTATTATTAAGAAAGTTCAAAGAGCCATAAATAAAATTGAACGAAAAATAAATGTGTGCAATAGGGACGGTGGTAATCCTTTCGAACATGTAGAGCATTACAAACTAGTTTGCAGAATTTGACTTATTTATAATAACTACGATTAATATTATGCATATTATTAGATCGCACACTGAGATTTCAAATTCACAATAAAAAAAAAGGTAAAAATAATATCTTTAAATAATTGCGGACCTGGATATTATTTATTTGAATCTTTTAATTGGCTCGATTTTCCTTATTCATTATTAAATAGCATTTAATAATTTAAAAAACCAGAGTCGGACTTGAAATTATGTTAATAATAATTAAATAGTTTTGTTGTTGTTAAGATACCCAAAACAAAACAAAAAAGTATAAAGTGTGGCATATCATTGTACTCAGGAGAACGAGTTCTTTCAAAACCCGAAATAAAAAATGCAGGTCCGTATTTAAAAAAATTAAGTTGCCCTCTGTATCTCCCAAACTATCAGATAATCTGCAAATCTAAAAATACTGTCAGATAGCCCTAATAAAGTGGCTATGAGAATGTGTAATTAGTATTTTGATTTTCTAAAAAGTAACGACAGGAAAAAATAAAATCGATTTTCAAAAAAATCAGTTTTTTTCCAAAAAACTCAGCAATCCTTGAAATTTTTAAAACTTTTTTGATGGCATCTTGGTGAACATCCCAAAGCGCAACTTTGCCCCAATTTAATCATCTTCGTACGGTTATCGAGATACCAATGCTCGTACCTCGAATTTGTAGCACCCTGTATAGTGGTCGTGCTAATTATATTAATTGCTTATTGATTCTTTTATCGTTTGATTTAATGACAGAATCGCAAAATTATAATAATTATTGTTATAGTAACTATCATTTATTTTGTATTCATCAGAATACTTTGATAGCATGATCAATTTGTTAAGACCAAATATAATATGATAATACCCGTATTATATACCTAGGAGATATAACGTCAAATATGGCATAATAAACGCAGATGTTTTAAAGAAAAGAATAATATAAAATGCTCCCTACCATATGCCATTTAATTAGAATAATTTTTATATAATGCATAATAAATCGTCCTATTGCTGCCAAAAGTCACTAACTAACATTTTTCCGAACAACCAAATTCAATCACTAACTATGTTTTGAAGCGGAGAATCGATTGCAAAAGTCATTAACTACGATTTATGGCTATTTATGTTTTATTTTAATACCGAATAGTTACTAACTATAACATCTTTATGCAATGCAATTCATTTTTAGACGCATTTTTCTCGGAAGTAATAAAAAGTAAGTTAGTGACTTTAGTTAGTCACTAACTAACATTTTTCCGAACAACCAAATTCAATCACTAACTATGTTTTGAAGCGGAGAATCGATTGCAAAAGTCATTAACTACGATTTCTGGCTATTTATGTTTTATTTTAATACCGAATAGTTATTAACTATAACGTCTTTATGCAATGCAATTCATTTTTAGACGCATTTTTCTCGGAAGTAATAAAAAGTAAGTTAGTGACTTTAGTTAGTCACTAACTAACATTTTTCCGAACAACCAAATTCAATCACTAACTATGTTTTGAAGCGGAGAATCGATTGCAAAAGTCATTAACTACTATTTCTGGCTATTTCTGTTTTATTTTAATACCGAATAGTTACTAACTATAACATCTTTATGCAATGCAATTCATTTTTAGACGCATTTTTCTCGGAAGTAATAAAAAGTAAGTTAGTGACTTTTGGCAGAAATGGGACGAAATATAATTAACAATAATAACAAGAAATCAGTGGGTGAAGACGAAATAATTGATATTAATAAATTTTATTAATATTGAAAAAAAAAGGTTAAACCTGCCCTTATCAGCCGCTATCACACACAATAAATATGTCTTTTGCCTCAGAGATATTCTCAAAAATGCTTAAGAATTCTTATATAAAACCATGTCACAAAAAAGTCAAAATGATGATCAATGTGAATTACAAACATCAGCAAATTTTTTGAAAAAATTCTACATGACGGATTATTGAACTTTATGGAACAGTTCCCACTGCTCTCTGATAAAAAAATGGCTTCAGAAAACATAAATCCACAATCACTTGAAAGCGCCATACACTCATTAAACAACAAAAACAAAACACTGGCCGTGAATTGGATTTGTTGTTGACTTTGGATTTGTCCAAAGAATTTGACAGTCTTAATTATCAAACACTTTGCGAAAAACTTGAAATGTATTGCTTTAAAATTAATAAAATCCTGCTTGGAGGGTCGAACTCAATTGGTCGAGAAAGAGATAGTTTTGGCAATATATATTTGGAAATCTCACAAAATTATAATTGGGCGTAGTATTTTACAAGGCTCTACACCGAAGCCATTATTATACGCCCTATTCACCAATGAACTTCCTTTTGTTCCACAAGAACATACCGTTCTATATGCCTATGACACCTCTAAATGTAGTTTTTAGTGAGAAATAATAAATTATTTTTAAGCAAAGCTACAAACTGTCGCTTCATGCCTTGCAAGTAAACTTTGTAGCAAATTATGTATCATTAAATGTTGCAAAAATGCAGTAGATGCTTTGTGGAAAACGAGGTAGCAATTCATTTGAAATGGTGTCAGATGAAAACAAGATTGTTCTACAGTTACATTAAAGTTTCTGTGTATACTTATACTACGTAAACAAAAAGATTATGTTGGAAGGCTCATATTTCTGACATTTCTGCGAGAATTACCAGATACTAGTATAGTTATAGTTTCAAAGTAATTACAAAAAATATTTTTGGGGGAAATTCAAATAACACTTCGAGAGTCTTAGTGATAGCGATGCATCAGAAATATTATGAAGCTTCATTATAGAAAAAGTTGTAAGAAAACATTAATTAAGAATACATATCTCGTGTTTCCTCACTTGTGAACATATTGTTGACGTTAATACGCTTTACACTATCTACTATAATTTTTTGTGTCCAGATTTGATATTTAATAGAGTAAACCAAAATTAACTTGCTATCATATAAAGTGTCAATTGGATTTCCAAGGCAGACTTGATCTTTTGAGCGAATTTTTAAAAAATCTAATTTTTTGGTGAATTTACATAATAATGAATAAAAATTAGATACCACCGTATAAATTATTTTTTGCTCTATCTAAGAGTATAAAAATTCAAAATGGCGGCCATAAGAAAACAAAAACTTGACTGTTGTTGTGCGAAATCTAGAAGGCTTAGAAATTTTCTGAAAATGGCATTTAATTGGCCGGGGTCAAAAATATAAAACTACCAACTTACGTTGCAATAGATACAATAGGTCTGAAGATATTCTCATTTAAAATAAACGCATTATTTTCATTTTTTTTACATAAATCCGAAACTAATCAAGATACCGGGGTTTTCTTCCTAGGTGTTTGTCAATCTTCTAATTACACAACTTTTGTCCCATTTAACCGAATTCCTATCTCTTGTAGTTTCTGAGATGCCAGTGTTCAGCATCGAAATTGTCACCACCCTATCTATACAGGGTGTTTCAAAACAAATGCGAAAAACTTCAGGGGGTGATTCCTTGTTCAAAATAAAGTGTAGTTTGCTTCATAAACGTTGGGTCAAAAGTCAACCATTAGGGAGATATCGCGGAACAAAGATGGCGGAAAAATAATGTTCTTATTTCTTATCTTGAAAACAAAAAGAGATAGACTAATGAAATTTTATGGAAGCATTACTGTTATGAAAACACACTTTCTGGTAATTTTTTCACTTTTTTAAAATGAGTGGAAGGGGTTGAAAACGAAATTTAAAGAAAAATCTTATCAAACACATGCAAAAAAATTAATTTGGATATTTTAGTTTGTTTAGAAACTTTTTTATCTCTTGTATTTTTTTTATAAAACTCACCGATTTGAAATTAAAAAATAAAATGTAAAGCATTACATGTCAGAACTAAAAATATTTTTAGATTAAGAATCTAGTGATAATAATGATAATAATAATAATCTAGATAATAACGTATTGCAGTAGGGTAATGTCAAATAAAATAATAGAAACATCCTAAAAAGTGACAGCGGCCGACTAGATTTTTTCTAAAAAAATTACAGCTGCCCACTAGATTCTTTATCTAAAAAATGTTTTTGTCCTGACATGTAATGCTTTACATTTTATTTTTTATTTCAAATCGGTGAGTTTTATCAAAAAACACAAGAGATAAAAAGTTTCTAAATAAACTAAACTATCAAAATTAATTTTTTTGCATGTGTTTGATAAGATTTTTCTTTAAATTTCATTAACAAGATTGATAGGGGTAGTTTATTTCAACCTCTTCCACTCATTTTAAAGAAGTGAAAAATTACCAGAAAGTGTGTTTTCATAACAGTAATGCTTCCGTAAAATTTCATTAGTCTATCTCTTTTCGTTTTCAAGATAAAAAATAAAAACATTATTTTTCCGCCATCTTTGTACTGCGATATCTCCCTAATGGTTGACTTTTGACCCAACGTTTATAAAGCAAACTACCCTTTATTTTGAACAAGGAATCACCCCCTGAAGTTTTTCGCATTTGTTTTGAAACACCCTGTATATACATTTCATGAGCAGGGCTGCAGTTAGTATCGCATTAATGAAGATAAAATGTGTGAGCAATAGACCATTCTACTAGTATTAATCCATCAAACTTAATATATTTTTAATGTTACATTACCCAGGTGAATCCTATACAATTGATGGCGTTGCTGATCATCTCGCCCAGCATAGAAGGGTAGCTGGTCAGAGCAGGGAAATAGGCGTGCATATGAGGACTTTGCCAATGAGTAACTCCCGGCATGATAACTTTTTCCAAATCTTTAAATATGTTGTCCCATGATTCTCCTTTCAGCGGGGCAGAATCGGGGATTAATTCCCTGATGAATCCAGGTTTTTTGTCTGGAAACACTCGGCGTTCTCTGATGTTTTCCAGATAATCAGCGATGTAATCTATCACTTCCTTTCCTGTAATGAAGGTGAAAAAAATTACTTTTTCTTAAAGTCTTCAGTTCCTATCTACTTCATCATCGTTCTACATTCTACGTAAAATAATCCTGGTGTAAATGTTTATACCACAAACAAAACAGCGTTTTATTGTCATCATTTTGTCAATTATTTACATTACTGGTAGATAAAAATGGAAAAGGCCTGCATTTGCATTATCCAGATTCTTTTTTCCTAATTATCGGTGTTCACTAAGTATAAAATCACGTTAATACAATATGAAAAATAATTTTCATTGTAGCAGCGCCGTGCAGTCCATGGAAGCGGGGGAAGCACCGCTTCAGTAAACTTTTTAAAGATTTAAAAATTAAATAGTTAAACGTTAATAATACTGTTATTTTATAACAAAAGATTAATTTTATTTGTTAAAATTATTTATTTGAAACCTTACAAAAACGTAGTAAATTTAATTAGCCTTTTACTGCATGGATGCGCGCCTGGAAATCGCCGCCGGTCGCCTATCCCTTCTTCATGTAGGTGTTATTGACCTCGAACGCAAACGACAAATTTAAGCCGGAAAATCGCGCACAGTTACTAGCCACGGCAGCGAACTTTCGGTCGCCTTCCGCGACTTTTAATTTATCGGGACGGGTGCGGTTGCGATTTTATAGGTAATATTGTATTTTTTTCGGATTTAACTTAGTGTTTACTGCTTCGTTCGTAATGGAAGGTCAAGAAAGACAAGCTTCTGCTTCTGCTAGTGTGGACAATAATTTAGACTGTGTTTGTGTTGTATGTGTGTTATTAAAAAAGGGATTTTCTAGTCAGAACTTCCAAGACCGCTTAAGGAATGTTGTCATTTGACTGGTTTTGCATTTTTACCGTACAGTTTTAATTAAAAATACATGCAGTTTTTCTTAAATTACTTAAAATGGGCTTGCTCAAATTTGGCATGTCCATTAAGCATAGGCAGACTCGAAAAAATATGAACGACTTAGCTGTAAAATTAATAGGGGAGCCAATATTTGAACAGTTCAAAACTTGCAAGGAATTTCCTATGTTTCAAACGACGATGCCTCACCCTGTATATCTATTGTATACGCTTCTTATAGATATGTTATATTACAAAATTGTTATAGTCCTTTTTTGGTTTTATATGGATATGTTGTTTTGTAGCACGTAATAATTTATAAAATGTTATCTTATACAGTATGTCCCCGGATTGTATTTACAAGATGAAAAACTTTTTTATTATTGGTATTTTGAAAAAAAAGGAATTCTTTATAAAAATGTTTGCTTGTTCTAAAATGGTTAATCCCGTTTATACTTTTCCAAATTTTCATACCGTTTTAGAGAAAATTAGAAGAAAAAACATGAAAATAGGGTTGAATTTAATTTAATTTAAATAAAAAGGCGTTTCTATGGTAATATAATTTGGATTTCATTCTTTGATAGATGGTTATTATAAATTTTGATTAACATTATATTTTTTTGCTGTTGTTAAAGTGTCACGTTATCCGATAACTCCTATCACCCTTTCCGTAGCATTGAACTAAATAAAATGTATGCTTCTTTAACATTTTAAAACGGTAAAAAATATGACGTTAATTAATATTCTACCAACAACAGTCTATCAAAGAATGAAAACTAAATTATATTACCATAGAAACGCGCTGTGATTTTTAAAACTATGTTTTTTTCTAATTTTCTCTAAAACAGTATGGAAATTTGGAAAAGTGTAAACAGTATTAACTATTTTTGAACAAGCAAAAATTTTTTATGAAAAATGCATTTTTCTCAAAATGTCAATAATAAAAAGGTTTTTCCTCTTGTAAAGACAATCTGGGGACATACTCTAGTTGGTTACACAAACATTACAGAATCTATTTTGCTACTTGGGTAAGGCAATTTTACTATATTTGTATCATACCGATATATTGTCATACAAATAAAATCTAACAAACTGCACAATAAAGAAACATAAATTCCCATAGAAAAGAAATCGTCAGCTACATAAAGCTTCATATAGGATCAAAAAACTCTAAACGTCAATTTGAAGAAAATACAGTTCAATAACATGCAAATATCTTTTCATTCGCTTCTTCAACATTTTCAATAATGTTACATACCTACTGAATGTGGAACACTATTAGAAAATGTAATGGTTTGTTATAAATTTATTATTACCTTTTGTCCTAAATTCTTCACTATCCATTACTTTCCCACCTATAAAAAACAAAGATTGTAATATTATACCACCTGATATTAATGCCATTATCTGATTATGTCTGACGTCCTCTTTACTTTAATTTAATTTATTACAAATCAATTCAATCAAATGACGACGAAATAACACTATGACGAAGAAAACTTAAATTTTAATTATAAAATTGTTTGTTTAAAATTTATTGCTTGAATGATATTAAGAATTCCATTAACAAGAACAACTAGGCTCAAACAAAAGATGCTACTAGACAATAATTTGATGTGGTAAATGAGCGTGAACAAGAGCGAAAACAGAATATGGAAGAAATATTTGGCAAATGATTGTGTTAATTAAATAAATTTCCAATATTTTTTCATAAATTATATGGTTTTTAATATGTTATTAAATGTTTGAATGGAAAATTAGATGCCAAAAAGGGGAAAAAATGTAACTAAAATAGTTTAGATTTTTTTTTATTAGAATATTTGTAATGCGATATAGATAATGTGGAAATTGATAAATTAAAAAATAATAATTAGTTTTTTTTCCTTTCAGTATGTTAATATATTCTTTATTTATTGAAAGGTATTAAGCCAGTATTTTTTTGAAAAAATACGAGAATTTAGAAACAAAACACTAAAATAAATATTTATATAAATTGCCCATCTACAGTGAATGATGAGGTTAAGCAAATATATTGCATGGCACATAAATTTAAATCAGATATTAATTTTATTGGTATAAATAAAAACAGTACATCTCAACTATTAATAGATAAGAAAAATATACACAAATACAAAATAAATTATATAATAATCGATTATTACTTAATATTATTTATAATTTATCAACATAGTAACAGATCCGAATAAATTAACAATATACTTCTAAAATTATTGTGCCAAAAAAATATTGAATACTGCAATTAGTATACATAAAAATATTAGGAATATTGAATTTATGTATTTATGTATAAAAAATATTTTAGTTAAAAATTGGGTTACCTTTTTGAAGGAAATATTTTTTAAACAACAGCACACAGTCACAGCGAATCACTGAAGCCAAACAGCAAAAAGCAAACGAGCAACAAGTTGTAGCTGCGTCCTTTTATATAGGGCTTCCTCCTCCAGGAAAAATCGGAATTAATAGGATTTTTTCCTCAATAAGTCCAAGCGATAAAAGGGGGGAATGAAACAATACAATAGGTTTTTTTTTTAGTTTAGGTTTACCATTTTAAATAGTTTACCAATATACAGGGTGTTCCTTAATAGCATGCTAATATTTAAGGGGATCATTTTTGTGCCTATTAAAAAAACATACTTCGTATGAAAGTTTCCTGAAAGTCTTAACTTTTGCGATAGAAGGTGGAATTTTTTTCTAAAAAAACGATTTATTATAATAACTCTATGTTATACAGTATGTCTCCGGATTGTCTTTACAAGATAAAAAACTTTTTTATTATTGACATTTTGAGATAAACGCATGCGCCAGAAATAATTTGCTTGTTCTATAATGGTTAATCCCAATTATTATACTTTTCCAAATTTCCCCAATTTTTCCAAAAACACCCCGTATAATGTTATATATTTATCGGAGTACACCTCCACCTGTGAATACCTGAAAAATAGTGAAACTCATGTCATAAGTTTAGTTATCAATGATTTGTAATTTTGAAATGGTATTTTAAATAAAAATAGTTAGTACAGTGGTTTAGTACACTTTATATATCTATAAACCCCCCAAGAAACATAAAAGTGGTGTCAGAAGTGGGATAGATATATAAACTCGTGAAAGTGCAACATAGAAACGAAATCTACGAACGCCAACGCAACCTCGTCAAACTTCGTGCTCAAATACAGACATCGCCACTTTGGTAAGTCTCCTGTTTATAAACATTGTTAAAAATGGCTCAAGTAACACCAGAATTACTCCAACAACTATCGGAATTAATTGCCAATGCCATACGACAGTCTCAAATACCTGGTCCAACAGAACAAACGTCATCAGCACAGCCTCGACCACCCCAATTCTCCATGCAAGCGTATCGCGCTGCCGACGGAACTTCAATCACGGACTACTTTACACGGTTCACCTGGGCGCTCAATCTGAGTAAAATCCCTGAAGAACAGCATTCTCATTATGCACGTGTCTATATGGGTTCTGAGCTCAACGATGCCTTAAGATCCTTGTCAGTCCTGAAGATCCAGAATATTTAACATATACTCAAATTCAAACGAAACTTACTGTTCATTTCGACGCAACACGCAATAAGTTTGCTGAAAGTATCAAATTTCGAAGCATCATGCAAAACCAGGAGAATCCATTGCTAGTTTTACCTTAAGACTGCGACAAGCTGCAACCTATTGTGAATATGAAGCATTCCTCGACAGAATGTTGATTGAACAAATGCTCGCAGGTCTAGAGTCAAGAGAAATGTGTGACGAAATTATCGCAAAGAAGCCAGAGAACTTCACCGCTGCATACGAAATTGCCTACGCACTCGAAGCCACTCGAAACACTGCTGACGAAGTAAAGACTGCTGTCGTCAAACCAGATACAACGAACAAGATTGGATACGAAAAACCTCCATCTCGAAAGAATGGTAATCAGCGACCAAACAGTTCATCAACACGCCGATACCAGAAATCACCAAATCAAGCAAGGTATCACCAAACAAATGAGACATCCAAAGACAATCAGCCAGTATGCTCAGGTTGTGGTGAAAATCACCCTCGAAGTCAGTGCAGATTCCTCAACGCCAACTGTCTCAAGTGTGGAAAGAAGGGACACATCAGCAAGGTATGTCGATCGAAGACAACACGGGGTACAAATCTTGTCACTGAAGATAAACCAGCAGAAAACATTGATGTCGTGCAGCATCTCAGTAAACTAGAGGTAATTGGTACAATCAAGTCATCACCAAAGAAACTGATTGATGTCAACATAGAGGGAACCACTGTCAAAATGGAACTTGACACCGGCGCTCCATGCTCTATCATAGCCAAATTAAAAGTAGCTACAATCAAACCAGAGTTTATAGAGTTTCAATTTGGTGAATATCTCAGTGGTGGACGAATCACTCGATTTGATCTTCGTGGTATCATTGGAGTGTGAGGTGTATTCTCTGGTATCACTGGAGGTTCTAGTTCACGAATTGATGTTCTGGTAGCTGGTACAATTGGTGGTTCTTCATAGTATCGAATATGGCGTTGACGATCATTTGTTGGCACTTCTATTGCTCCTTGAAATATTCTTATTTGGTCAATATGACGTCTTATTTGTTTATCTTCATAGTTGATTTCATAGTGGAGATCACCTGTTCGTTTAGAAATTGTGCCAGGGAGCCATTTATCGAGCTTCTGGTTTCCAGATAGGAAATACACTCTTTGTCCATCTTCCAAGGTGCGAAAAGTTGATTGCATTGCAGCTCGTTGTTTTTCCAACACTTTCGTTGATATATCATCAGGTCTCGTTAGATTAAGGCGAGTGCGAAGGTCTCGTCCTAAGAACAATTGAGCTGGGGACTGTCCTGTGGTGGAATGTGGTGCTTTGCAATATTGTCGAAGGAATTGGTTAAGATTACTCTGTAGTGTTGCTTTCGTAGTTTTCATTGTATATAGTCCGTCTTTCACTGTTTGCACATACCGTTCCGCTTGTCCATTTGTTGATGGATGATACGGTGCTGATAGTTTGTGGTATTTTACTTCACTATTCTTCAGAAAAGTCTTGAATTCTTCTGCAATGAATTGTCTACCGTTATCTGAAACAACAGTGATTGGTGTACCATATGCTGTGAAGAGGTTGTCCATAATAGCGATTGTTAAAGCTGCTGTGGTAAGAGTGGTAGGTTTTACTTCAACCCATTTACTGTAAGCGTCGACAACGATTAACAGCATCGTGTCGGCTACTGGACCTGCGTAATCAATATGAATACGTTCCCATGGTGCCTTTGGGTACTCCCAATGGTGGTCACGAAATTTGGGTGGATCATGCGCTTGTGTTGCACATGCGGTGCAAGACTTAGCAAGTTTCTATTTATTTTTAAAATACGTACCTAAGTATATTTTTAAATAACATAACCCTGCGCCTTAAATATTAAATCCATTATGTATCCATTTACATGACCCTTAAAAAACTTCCAGTATTCCTTAAAGTTTTAAATTCGCTCCAATTTAGAAAAAACTATAATTATTAGATATATACTATACTCACACGCTCAGCTATTTAACACAAGTGGACTGAGCAGACCAGTTTGCGCAGTTTAACCTGTACTACAGCCTAGCCTGTGGCATATAAACGCAATTTTATAGCACATACTTATCTGCGTACAATGAAGTGAGTACTGCACTCACATCACCACATTTTCTCCATTGAAAATAGCCTCCCGAGATACACTTCTGTCTTGCACTTTACTCGCTTGTGCAATAAAAAAAACAAGGGATTTTCTACAGTCTTTGAGCGACATCTTGCCTTGCAGTATATGATGTAGGTGTCGCTTAAAGTTGCTAAACTGCAGAGTAAACTGATTAGTTCTGAAGATGCTCTGTTGGCTGGAATATGAATGTAATGTATTTTGGGGGAACTCAGCATTTTCTTGATGTATGCTTTGCGGAACATCACAAACGTACATACATACATACAGCCGTTACTCGCTGACGAGTATTCTACACACATAAAGAAGATCGTCACGCAAGGCGTTTTCTTTCATGAGCTTTTCTGTGACTGAAAAGCCCGATACGTGATGTTATCTGCCTACCGCACTCCGGACATTCAAAAATCTCATTGCTTTGTTGCCTCTTTACTTTTTGGTTGCCGCTGTTAACTGAGTTTACAACCCTTCTCCATTGAGTTCTATTGTGAGCTGCATTTTCCTACTCATTCTGCATATTAATTCCCTTTAAATTTTCGTGGAAAATGTCCTTGTATCTTTTCAGTTGTCCACCCGGCCTCCTCTTACCGTCTACAAGCTCACCGTAAATCAGAGATTTTGGTATGCGGTTTTCTTGCATTCTGCATACGTGACCAGCCCATCTTAAGCGGGATTTTGTGACCATGACTTCAATACTCTCGCAGTTAGCTTTTTCAAGGACCGATACGTTTGAGACATGATGGAACCACCGGACCCTTAAGAGTTGTCTAAGGTGTCTCTGTTGCAACTTGTTTAATGCGTTCATGTGTCGGCGATAAGGCACCCAGATTTCGCTCCCATATAACATGGTGGGAATTATAATTGCTCGGTATACTGCAAGTTTTGTTTTTGTACTCAAGTCATGATTGTAGAAAACCCTGTCTTTTAATTTCCAGAATTACCTTGAGGCGCTACTAATCCTGTGCTGAATTTCAGAGTCAATATTGGCCTTTTCCGAAATCAAACTGCCAAGGTAATTGAATTCCGCCACATATTCCAATAGTTCTTCTCCGATTTTTATAGCATTGTTGTGATCTTCCGGGGGAGTGCACATGATTTTAGTTTTGTCGATGTTTAGCTTAAGGCCCAAAGCCTCGTATGTACAGATATATGTGTTCAACATTTCTTGTAATTGTTGTACCGTGTTTGCAACTAGAGCGAAGTCATATACACGAACGTATACACGATCACAAACGTATACACGTGCAGACGTATCAGAAGTTAAATGATAAATTTAACATAGTACTTTTTTGGTTCTTTTTTGTCTGTCAAACCCTTATTCCAAGGTTTATAAAATAACAAATACTTGAGTTATAACAACGAATAAAACAAAGTAAAACTTTTATTTTTATTACCAATTGTATTTAAGAACCGCATGCAAGTACTTTCTATTATATAGATAATATTTTCTTTTCAACTTAAAATAGTAGAATGTAGAATGTTTAGGAGGGAGATTAATCACAGCGACCTTGCAGATCTAATGTTTCCCTTTCTTGAGTTATAACGAGTTAAAACTCATCATACAGTCTCGGGGTTTTGACAAAAGCCAGTATCTGAGACGGCTCCACAGAGGCCAGCTCCCCATCTCCAACATCAGCCGTACCAAAGTGCAGTATGGCACGAACGGTTGTCGTCTTGGCGCACTCAGTAATACAGTGTTCTGGTGTTTCCCCATTTTCCCTACAGAATCTGCATTCGCCGTTGTTATTCAGCTTCAAACTACTGAGGTATTCGTTGAAGAGACAATGTCTTTTTAGTGACAATCTAAAGATTAACTTAAATCAAGGATAATCTTTAATTTTTTTTTCGGTCGTAAATTCTGAGAAACTTTGTGCAGAAATGAGTGTAGACCGTTGGAGGATTCCCATTACCAGTTACGATTTGAGTCTTCCAAGTTCTTGAGTTCCGCTTAAATAGTTTCCGCTTGGAAAGCAGAACGGTTCTGATCCAGTTAGTGGAGTGTTCGATCCTTTTCTAGCTAATCGTCTACTTTTTCATTGCACACTAAATGTAATCGAATTGAAAAAAGTGGAAGAATCTGAAAGTCTAGTTCAAAGAATATACCGAAAAGTATAATTTTAATTTTGCGAGAATTCACCCATAATTCACCGTTGACAACCAATATGTCAATTTGACAATTTTAAGTATATTTACACTTAAAGCTTTAAGTAAGATTTTATAATGGCCTTTGTAAGCCTTATTTTTACTGCTCTTCGTTTAAAAAGTCTCCAGAAAACACTAGTCGAAGAAAAACTAGAAGCATTAAAAGTTGACCGTAAAGAACAAGACAAAGTAAAATTTCGTTTCAGACATATCGGTGTTGATATTCGAGTTGCTGTAAAGAATTTCTTCAAAAGAATATTTAAATGCCCGGAAGAATCTCGTGTTCACCAAACTTGTTACAAATTACAGCACGAGGGAAGCTGTGAAAACTATACTTTGAAAAGCGTATTTGGTTTTCTTGGAGGAGTTCTTTTGACGTATCTTTTGTATTTCTTCTTTATATTTCAGTTAAACGTTAAATTAACTAGTGCCACTGTAATTTGTTCTCTGTTAGGATGTATTTTAACCGTTGGTTTAGCGTTCAGTTCAAATGTTAGGTAAGTGCAAATTGTTTTTATTTAACATATTAATAATATTAGGCCAGTCGGTACGTCGTTTTAAATAGGCCTAGGTGGAAATAATTAGGGGCAAGCTGAATTATTTTTTATTTTCTTTGTTTTGATATACTGAATGATATATTCAATTGGCACGGTCTGTCGATCCCGGATTTGGCCGCCATTTTGAAAAAAATCGATATAAAAACTACATTTTTATGGATTTTTTAAAATATCTCGGTCTGGGTGCATTGTAGAAAAAAAATGCAGGTAACCAAAAATAAAGCAAATTAAATTCTCTACAAAAAAGGTTCTATTAATTATTCTTGTAAACTTATCAGTTTTAAAGTTATAGCAATTAGCATCTAAGGTGTATTAGCCGACCATACCAACTACACAGAATATATAGGCGTAGCTAGATATTCTGTGGCAACAGGTATGGTAAGCTTACTTACTAACAACTTTAATAAACATGTTGTTCCAAAATGGTATTTTTCCAAAATGTCTTAAGACGGCAATAATCATTCCACTGCACAAAGGAGGAGACAAAGATGAAGCTTCTAACTATCGCCCAATTGCACTCCTTCCAACGCTATCTAAGATCATAGAAAGGTTGGTTAAAAACAGGCTGGTATCTTTTCTGTTTAAGTACAAAATACTTACTGAATATCAATTTGGATTTCTAAGCAACAAGTCCACAAATGACGCTATGTTTTCCCTCCTTAATAAAGTTTACTCCAGCCTAAACAACCATCATTCTACAGCAACAATTTTCTGTGATTTTTCTAAGGCGTTCGATTGTGTAAATCATAAGATCCTAATTAATAAACTGCAGCACTATGGGTTCAGGGGATCATCTCTCGAATGGTTTAAGTCGTATCTGAGCAACAGGAGTCAACTTGTGAGGGTGGTACCACGTTGTCTTCTAGCAAGCCAATAGAATGTGGAGTACCACAAGGCTCAGTACTAGGCCCTATTTTGTTTCTTCTTTTTATTAACGACATTGCTAACATAAACATCAGTGGCAAAATATGTCTTTTTGCGGACGACACTAGCTTCACTTGGAGCAACAAGGACATCGCGGCACTTCATAGGATTATATCAAATGACTTAATCACCATTAAATCTTGGTGCGATTCGAACCTCCTGAGTCTCAACATTTCTAAAACTAAGGCTTTGTCGTATAAAAACTCGTTGCAGCCTTTTGTACTTGACAACACCACCATTGACGTCGTAAAATCCGTAAAATTCTTAGGGCTTGTTGTGGACAATTCTCTGAAATGGGACATACATATCGAAGCTTTGTCGAAAAAATTGAGCTCTGCCTGTTTTGCATTAAGGTCTGTTTCTAAGGAGCTTAACTTGTCAGTGGCTAGAACTGTTTATTATGCACTTTTTGAGTCGCACCTCAGGTATGCCCTTCCATTCTGGGGTACGTGTTGTGCGGCTCAATTTGACCGCATTTTCAAGCTCCAGAAGAGAGCTGTTCGATATTCACTGGGACTAAACAGCAGAACTCATTGCCGGGGCTTTTTTAGAGAATTAAAAATATTGACTCTTCCTTCCTTATTTATATTTGAATCCGTTTGCCTAATACGTAAACATGTATCAGCTTCTCAAGAAAGGCCATCTCACACTTATCCACTCAGGAACGCGGAGCAAGATCTTTATCTACCTACCCCACGCTCAGAGTTAGTTAAAAGTTCAATATTATACAACTCGAAAAAAATGCACAATCACCTGCCATTTGAAATCAAATCCATAACATCATTTTTTTCATTTCGCAAAGCATTGAACTCTTATTTACTAGACAAGGCTTTCTACGCCGTAAATGAATTATATTTGAATTGAAAATCGAATTTGATCTTGAAAACACTGGTCTAATGTTTGCTATTGCTATATTTACTAATGACATAGAAATTAATTTATTTAGAGGTCATTGATATTTTGCTATAAACTGGCTAAATATTTTTGAATATTGTTTTAATTTTTTTTGTTCTTTGACATTGTAAACATTTATATATGTTTATTTTAACAATAAGACTGACAATATTATTTGTATAATGTTTTGTATTATCTTTTGTTTGTTTGTTTGTGTACCTTGTTTTTTTTTTACTTTGTTTGTTAGTTTACCTTTGTCCACAAATTGAAAAATGTTTTGACAATAAAGGCATTTATTTATTTATTTATTTATTTAAAAGCTATTAAGATCGGCAATTTTTTTTTAATTTCACTCAAAATGAGTTATTTGGGTCATAAATGACCTAAATACAAAATATTTTCATGGTGTCTGTCTGTCTGTCTGCCTGTCCGTCTGTAACACGATAACTCAAAAACCGCTAAACCGATTTTAACCAAATTTGGCACAAAAATACTGAGGCACCCAAGAATCTGGCCATTAGTTTTTGGTGGGGGTGGGGGGTTGGTAAGGCCGTAAAAATGGGAGGGGGTTAAAAATTTAAAAAAATCGTAACTCCAAAATTACAGTAGCTAGCGAAACGCGGTTTTCAATTTAAGATTGGGAATAATATTTTGCAACAAAATTTGTAATAACATCAAAATCAGTCAAAGTCGCAGTTTTTGAGATATTCCGTTTTCCGTATATAGTCCGTTTTTGAGAAAATCTGTGTGGAGAACTCCAAACTCCCATCGGACCCGACCCCAGGTGGCGGATAGGGGAAATAACCGCGGACCAAAATTGGAAAAATTCATTTACTTTGAAACTAAAAGAACTGCCTACCAACTTTTTATTAACATATTTTAGTATGGGCGGCTATACGTGCCTCTCGGCGCCAATTTTTTTTAAATACATCTTAATGTGCGCTAGTGTTAAATTTGATAATCGATCTATTCGACAACTGCGCGAGACGGCAGCCGGGGTGCGGTTAATTACGCAAACCAGTTCGGGCGACTTTTAGTTTTAGCGTTTCATTATACTATTCCGAAGTAAGACACAAAGATTAGGATTAGGCATATAGGGGAAACCACTTAAAAAAAGTGCGCCGAGTGCTCTACCGACAGGTAGTGTGGAAACGAACACAAGAAAAACATAAATTTGTACTGGAAAATTATTCAAATTTACATAGAATCAGTTTCTCATATTAAATGAACCACAAGAAAATATATGCTTTGTATTTAAGTGCCTGTATCTCGTTAACCTGTTCATGCACGAAATCGGTGAATAGGACCTTTTTTGTAGAGAATTTAAATAGCTTTCTTTTTCGTCTCTTTCAAATTTTTTGTACAGTGCACCCAGACCAGAGTTATTAAAAAAAAACATAAAAATGTCATAATTTGACAGGATTTTCCAATATGGCGACCAAATCCGGGATCGATAGACCGTGCAAATTTAGTAGAGTATTCAACAAACCAAAACAAAGAGAATAAGTCTTATTGCAGTTTTCCCCTAATTCTTTCCACCTAAAACCACTTGTCGACTGGTCTATATGTCATTATTGTTCATTTATAATCATTGTTGTTATAGATGTATTGTTTTATTGACCTTACCTCAATTTTTTTCAAAGAGAGGAAGGCAAGCACTTTTGGCCTACGCTTTTGTCCTAGCTCTTACTGGACCTGCACAAAATACTTTAAATAATATGGGAATATTAAGTGAATCACTAGCCTGTGGACAGGTAAATACTGAATCTCACTCACATTTGAGCCGTTTACTGCAAAATTCGATTAACTCCATTTTCAGAAAATCTTAAATTTAAGTATAAAACCACTTGGTATATTTATTATCCAATTGAGAAATGGTAACCTCTGATGTTATAAATATAAAAAGTTATGAATATAGAAAGTGGTTTTACACGAAAATTTAAGATTTTTTAAAAAGTTGAGTTAATTGAATTGTGAAGTGAATGGCTATATAAGTAATTTATATAATAGTATATAGTTTTATTAGGAGTAAAAATGACACTTTTTTAAAAAGTAATTTTTACTCCGATTAGAACATAGCTATTTTTTAGCGCATATACGCACAAACAATAGCGCACAAAAAATAACGCACAAATAATTTTTTAAACAATTTCAAACGTCCCAAATAATACAAAAAGATTTAAAAGTCATACCCATAGATAAATGAAACAAGTTTAGATTGGAAACTGCCCATAAGGACAATGTAAACACTATTTGGCGCTATTTTTGCAACGGTCGCGACCCAAAGCTTTTGATAATTTCGGAACGGTTCGGATTTTTCCGGAATTATATCGCCAAATATTATTTATTATTATTTTTTATATGAATTTTATCAATGAGAGCGGGTTAGATTTTGAAATATTTTATAATTTTTGAAGAAACTTTGACAAGAGATATGGGCAAGTAAATATTATTTCTGTTTGCGGTTTTTTTAGCAACTGCAAAATTTTGACGGGCATTCCAATCTAAATTTATCACTTTATGTCAGTTAATCTATACTAATACCGTATGATCGAATAAAAACGGCGTCAGAGATGGCTATGAAATGAAGATCGCTGTCATTTTATATGTAAAATTATATTGGAAATGTCATCAATCGTCATTTCCAAGCCAACTGGACGCCATTTTTTTTCGATCAAACGGTATATAAAATCCTTAAGTGATACTGATTAATCACGATCCTGCTCAAGCCACTCAACGTAAGAAGCTCAATTTTTGCATACAGTTTGATTCTAGGGTGTAGAGGTTCGATAAGAAGGGATTTTTCGAAATTCCAGTTCCAAGAGGGTGAAACCACCCCTCAAATATTACAATATTGTTTATTTAAAAAACAGTCAAGTTTCCGAAAAAACGCTTAAACACGTATATTTTATTTTGTTGTTTTACATATTTTAAGATTTTTTATAAATATATACAGGGTGTTTCATAAAATATGACCATTGAGTTATCACGATTCTGCTTAAACTGCTTGACGATTAAAGCTGATTTTTGGCAAACGGATTGACTGTGGGGTGTAGAGGTTCGATAAGGAGGGGTTTGGTTTGGTTTGGTTTGGTTTGGTTTGGTCGAATCTCAAATTCCAAGAGGGTGTAACGCCCCTCAAATATTACAATATTTGTTATTTAAAAAACGCTTAGTCTTTCGGGAAAACGCTTGGACAAGCATAATTTATTTGTTTTGTATACATACTTTGAAATTTTTTAATAAATCTAAAAAAATTAAAAAATGAAATACAGGGTGTTCCAAAAAGTTGGGTAATTTCTTAACCACGATTCTGCTTAAACTGCTTGCCGTAAAAAGCTTATTTTTGGCAAACGGATTTTTCGAAAGTCAAAGTCCAACGAGATGAAACTACCTCTCAAATATTACCAAATTATATAATAATATCGCCATATTGTTTTTTCTCATGCTGACATAAATGTGAGAAAATTTTATCCAGTTTGTATGTTAATGGAAATTCTTGCTTTGCTTTATCATCACCATTACAAATGATTAATTCGACGCGAACGAAGTCGCTGGTATACTCTAGTATAATATATTTTGGTACTTTTATCAGTTATTCTGCTTAGGCGTAAAAGTGCTTTACTTTTATGCCTAGGCGTTAAAATGACTTTTTTATATTGTCAATCACGTCGCAAAAATTAATACTTTTGTGACGTTTGAAAAAAAAAACGTATTTTAAGTTTTATCGAGGTTTTTATAAATACATGCATAATAATTAACCATTTTGTGAGCCATGTTAATAAAGTATGTGGCTATAATATGATGCGTTTAAAATTAATGAGATTATTAAGTTCAGCCACTTATGTAAAACAACCAACTGGGATACTAGCTCTTATGATGTCGACACCTTCTATATAAATGTCGACATTTTCTATTTTCGTAAAAACATTAACCAGTCTAGCGTTCAAATCCTTTCCTCTTAGGCCTATAAAAAATAAGCATAATAAACCTTGGACCACTGTCTACGCATATCTTCTAAAAAAATGTTCAGTATCTCACTTAAAAAAATTCTCAGACAGTCTCTTCTTCCACAGTTACGTAAAACTATACAGAAAAATTTATCATAAGACTATAAGAGCCGCTAAGGACCTTTATTATAATAGGAGAATAGTCAATTCTGGTAATGTTGCTAAAGAAACATGGTCTATTGTGAATGAGTTGAGAAACAAACCTTTTCTTCGTCTAGCAATATCTCTACCTCACCTGAGAACCTTAACGATTACTTTGTAAATGTAGCGAAAAACTTAACTAATACCATATGTCCTCCTCATGATCCACTTTCTTATCTCTCTAATGATATTGTAAACTTACACAGTTTCTTTTTTTCGCCCGTAGTTTTAGAAGATTTTCGCAGTACAATTAATACCATCAAAAATAAATCCTCTTCTGGGACCGACGGGCTAACTTTAAAAATGTTTTCGAATCTGCCAGAAAGCACTCTGAATCACCTAACAACTTTAATAAACATGTCGTTCCAAAATGGTATTTTTCCAAAATGTCTTAAGACGGCAATAATCATTCCTCTGCACAAAGGAGGAGACAAAGATGAAGCTTCTAACTATCGCCCAATTGCACTTTTTCCAACGCTATCTAAGATCATAGAAAGGTTGGTTAAAAGAAGGCTGGTATCTTTTCTGTTTAAGTACAAAATACTTACTGAATATCAATTTGAATTTCTAAGTAACAAGTCCACAAATGACGCTATGTTTTCCCTCCTTAATAAAGTTTACTCCAGCCTAAACAACCATCATTCTACAGCAACAATTTTCTGTGATTTTTCTAGGGCGTTCGATTGTGTAAATCATAAGATCTTAATTAATAAACTGCAGCACTATGGGTTCCGGGGATCATCTCTCGAATGGTTTAAGTCGTATCTGAGTAACAGAAGTCAACTTGTGAGGGTGGATACCACGTTGTCTTCTAGCAAGCCAATAGAATGTGGAGTACCACAAGGCTCAGTACTAGGCCCTATTTTGTTTCTTCTTTTTATTAACGACATTGCTAACATAAACATCAGTGGCAAAATATGTCTTTTTGCGGACGATACTAGCTTCACTTGGAGCAACAAGGACATCACGGCACTTCATAGGATTATATCAAATGACTTAATGACTATTAAATCTTGGTGCGATTCGAACCTCCTGAGTCTCAACATTTCTAAAACTAAAGCTTTGTCGTATAAAAACTCGTTGCAGCCTTTTGTACTTAACAACACCACCATTGACGTCGTCAAATCTGTAAAATTCTTAGGGCTTGTTGTGGACAATTCTCTGAAATGGGACATACATATCGAAGCTTTGTCGAAAAAATTGAGCTCTGCCTGTTTTGCATTAAGGTCTGTTTCTAAGCAGCTTAACTTGTCAGTGGCTAAAACTGTTTATTATGCACTTTTTGAGTCGTACCTCAGCTATGCCCTTCCATTCTGGGGTACGTGTTGTGCGACTCAATTTGACCGCATTTTCAGGCTCCAGAAGAGAGCTGTTCACTGGGACTAAACAGCAGAACTCATTGCCGGGACTTTTTTAAAAAATTAAAAATATTGACTCTTCCTTCCTTATTTATATTTGAATCCGTTTGCCTAATACGTAAATATGTATCAGCTTCTCAAGAAAGGCCATCTCACACTTATCCACTCAGGAACGTGGAGCAAGATCTTTATCTACCTACCCCACGCTCAGAGTTAGTTAAAAGTTCAATATTATACAACTCGAAAAAAATGCACAATCACCTGCCATTTGAAATCAAATCCATAACATCATTTTTTTTTCATTTCGCAAAGCATTGAACTCTTATGTACTAGACAAGGCTTTCTACGCCGTAAATGAATTGTATTTTGAAAATCAAGTTTGATCTTGGAAACACTGGTCTAATGTTTGCTATTGCTATATATACATCGAAATTAATTTATTTAGAGGTCATTGATATTTTACTATAAACTAGCTAAATATTTTTGAATATTATTTTTATTTTTTGTTCTTTGACATTATAAACATTTATAAATGTTTATTTTAACAATAAGACTGACAATATTATTTGTATAATGTTTTGTATTATCTTTTGTTTGTTTGTTTGTGTACCTTGTTTTTTTACTTTGTTTGTTAGTTTACCTTTGTCTACAAATTGAAAATTTTTTTGACAATAAAGGCATTTATTTATTTATTTATTTATTAAATGATCAAAATTCTTTAATAACTTAACAAATATATTTAATAATTTAACAAATAGAAGAAACTTATGAGCTAACTAAAGCTATTTTACTCAAAAACTTTTTACTTACTCAGATAAAAAATTGAGTTTTATCCGGTTGAATTTAAATATATTTTTAAAAGTAATTTTCCATTTCATAGCGTTAATGGTAATGCAAAAGATATTTCTAATCAATGGTGAACTGGAATTTACTAGTTTTTCATTAAATTATATACAACTGAAACTAATCAGTGTTCTATATAAAATAATTTGATTTTAAATTATGCAAATTGGAAAAATTGGAATACAGACTGGGGATCGTTCGAGTTATTTAAGTAATGTTATTTTTGTTAGAGAACATTTCGGTAAAATAAAGGTAAACTAAACAAACAAAGTAAACAAATAAGGTACACAAACAAACAAACAAAAGATAATACAAAACATTATACAAATAATATTGTCAGTCTTATTGTTTAAAATAAACATTTATAAATGTTTACAATATCAAAGAATAAAAAAATAAAAATAATATTCAAAAATATTTAGTTAGTTTATAAAAAAATAAATTTATTTCGATGTCATTGGTAAATAAAGCAATAGCAAACATAAAGTCTGTCCATACCTTTGAATAAGAAGACTAAGGAAGGAGCATATCAAAAATCTTAGGTACACCGCGATGGGCCTCAAATATGGCCGACTTAAATTCCGGTTTATCAGTGTCGTTCTAATTTTATTTAAAAAATGTAAAACTATGATGTAGGGTAGACGTGGGGTAGACTCAATAATTTGTTGTTTTATTTTACGTTGTGAATAAATGTTGGTAGTTATTAAAATTGTTATAAAAATATATAATTCTAATAAAAATAGATAAGTTATAATAAGTATTTATTAACACAAACATCCGATACGCTACTGAAGCAGGTAAGTCAAATTAACGTATCTAAATTCTTTGACATCTAATCTTTGACAAGTAATAAATAAAAGCTAAAATGCAAGAAAAATATATAATTTAGTTAATTTAAGTAAATTTCATAAATGATCGGTTTACTACACGTATGTATATTATATAGTCACTTACTAGCGAAAAGTTGTTCCATTATTTCACTCAATTTTTGCCGAGATCTACCGCACGCTACATAACCAACTATTTTAGAGTCTTTTTCGATAAATCACGATAATGTCACTGTTAATTTAAGTTCTGCCACAATTTCCATCTAGATTTACTACCTTTATACAACTATCAGTAGTAGAATAAATAATAAATAACATAAAATAAGCTCCGTAAAGACTGACAAATCCACAAAAAATCAAATTCAAATGTGTCAAATGAATCGTCAAACAGAACTGTGAAGTATCCCCACCCTAGAGTGCTTTTATGGTGCTTTTTCCGCCCACCATGCATGGATACATGGATAGCATTATGCTCCTTCCTTAGTCTTCTTATTCAAAGGTCCATACAGAGAATACATGACAGTAACAGTTTCGTCTGTCGTTTGAATTCACAGGTAAATTGTATTCTGTGTTATTTAATGGATGTCATGTGTCGAAATCCCCGACTCGTTCAACAAACTTTAGATCGATATTAGGAATTCACAGGTCCAATGGCAGTCGGTGTCAAAATATACTTCTTCGAATATTTTTTTCGAAATAGGACGGTTAGGGTCGTTTACCAATGATAATTTACTTATCGCTGATCTTTTTTGACAGTGGTCGTCTTAGCTAATAAGTAGCAGTTAAACCCTCATATGGGCTATCGAAAATGCATTTTTTAACAAGGAAAACGTAACATGCATTTATTTCAAAAACTGTTTGACTTAGACATATTTTGTATGATTATATGTGATAACTTTTGGTCTATTCTACTGCAACCTTTTCAGGTCTATTAAGGTTGATTCTCACTATACCTTCCATATCAGCTCCCTTCCGTTTCCCTTCCGTTCACATAAAATATTATATCATGTAAATGAACAGAACAATGCACACTATCCATTCTGTTTCCCTTCCGTTCCATATCCTTTCCTTCCATACATTTTTTTGGCGGACGGACTGAAGCGTATCGGAAACAGCGTTGTCAAGTTCTTACATTTTTACCAGCTCTCTTAAAATTTTGCTGATATTTATTTATTCTTTTACCTCTTAATTAAATCTATTACCATTTTTAAAAGATACAACTTTTTAAAATAAAACATTCGTAATGATATAAATTGTACAATAAAAAATAATAGCGTCAATACAATAAAAATACGGAACGAATATGGAATGGATATGGATATGGAATGGAAACGGAAGGTATAGTGAGAATCGACCTTTATGGTTCTCTACTCTCTGGATTACTTTCTCTAATCGTATCCTTTTTACAAAGACTATAACTTGAAAACTGAACCAATATAGCTTATAACCAACGGTTATGATGGCCTAGAAAAAAGAATCATACATTTGCCAGATCGGTTATCGCACTGGCTTAGAGTATATTATGTCGTGTCTGATTGGCAAAATCTGTACATGGTTTCGTCGGTTAATATCATCAGCTTTAAAAAATACATATTGAGCTCCCAATGCCATGTTAGTAGACCAACTACTGATTTGACAGTTTTCCTGTTTTTTCTTTAGAGATCTGCTGTAAATTTTAACGAACATCTACATATATAAAATGCTAATGTTTATCTGTGTCGTCTCTACTGAAGTAACGACTTGCTCTAGAAAGTTGCTTTTTTTACTAAAAGATACCTAATTGGCTCTTCTAAAAACTGTCGTCGCCGGATTTTTTGTTTTTCATTTAATTAAAAAAAATAAAAAGTATTTTTTTTCCTTATGTCGTGGCGGATGCGCCAGGCTTCAACTAGTTCTATTATATTTTATAAATTACAATACAGTGGGTACAGGGCCGCTTTATCCATTAGGCAAGATAGGCAGGCATTTTTTTAATGAGGGGCGGCATTTTTTTTTAATGAAAACAACTCGGAAAAAGATATATTCGAAAATGAAACATACTGCGACAATATTATAATAGTTTTGAATTATTAAAATAAAATATTAAATATTTATTAACAATTAGTGTACATAGATTTATGTAAAATGATTCGAACCACCTTGACAAAAAATGCCAAGGAAACCCCCTTCTTAAAAATATAATTTTTAGTTTAACATTATTATTGTCCTTTTTGTGTTTTTTATTTTATTTTTATTATTTATATTGGAAAAGGCGATACACAAAATATGAGTCAGCTGCCATTTTCGGTCCTACGATTATCCAGGCTCAGAACTTAGTAAGGACATGGTGTTGGCGAGTCATCAAATCGATTATATATAGTGGGCCCTCCTCCTTTGAGTCAGATATTTACAATAAGAATTAACCTAAAATCCAAGGAGGCAATAGAGAAAGATGTGTCCTCTATTACAGAAACGGGACAACACCGGTATCAGAAAGAGACAGAGAAAATGGAGACAGATCCTCCAACCTCCACCTTACTGGTACCTTAGCCGCAGACATGCTCATCGATTGTGAATGGCATGGAGGGCCAAATCCCAACCGTGTAAGATTGTATACCCTCCTAATAGGAGGTAGATGTCCACTCCTCAGAGGAAGAACATCAACTTTTGAACATCTGTTGTCAGAAAAGGATGAGAAATACCCTGTCTTCCCAGCAACAGAAAAAATCCCCATGTGTGATGAGTTATAAACTGTATGATGAGTTATAACTCAAGAAAGAGGAACATAATAAACCTTGTTCCTGATTCTCACTCATTCTATATACATTCTACATAGGTACGGAAGACTGATACAAGAAAACCGGTACCATAAAAAAAGGATTCAATAGGTACTGGAAAACAGATTCAAAGCGGTACGGTAATAAAATCAAAACGTTTCAAATGTAACATACCACATCTATAATATTAGGTTTGTATTTGTATAAAATATTGTTTAGCACTGTTTTATTGATAACTCCGACGCGACGTCGTTTAATTGTAAAACTTCGTCGAATCCATATTTCGATCCATTTTGTATTTCGGTCATTCCAAGAATTATCCCGGTACATCCTGTAATATAATTCTGTCCTACCGGTCTAATTGTTGATATCGGTATACCACCAGTTGTAAGACCGGTATTTCTTGATACCATCAGTATTGAAGTACTAGGATCTAATATCTAACCACCATAGAAATGTTCTGGTCCAACTGATTGTTTTAATGAGCCTCGTTTGGCCATTTCATCTGCTTTGCCTTATTTTTAATATTTTTAATCGCGTTATATTTTTCATTACTTTCAGTCTATTTATTTATGACAATCTCTATTATTGAAGAAGAATTTCTTTTAGGAACAATTAAAACAGGCTGTGAAACAAATAATTGACGTAATTAAAAAGCCGTTTGTGGCAATCAAAGAAGCTATCAAAAAGGTGGTGAAAACCGTTAAAGAAGTGATTAAGAAAATTAAAGAAATACTGTTGAAAATAAAGAGGATTATAATGGCTTTAGGTAAAAGCAGCGTATATTTACGCTCAAGTTAATTAGTGTTACAGATTTCAGATTTTTTATTTATATTAAAATCTTGTTCTAGTTCGAGTAATAAAGTCTGTGTTTGAATTTCTGGGCAAAATTATCAATATCTGCAATAAAGAACTGGGCACGCCTTTTGAGAGATGTTCCAGAGTTTTCGAAAATGCTATAGCTGATTGTAACGCTAAATTGGGGCCGTTATTCAGCTGGTTGTGTTCTTTGGCTTATATTGTCAAAGCGGTTTGCTATATAGTAAAAATATTCGATTATGTTTGCATGTTGGTTGACTTTATCAGTAATTCTGTCGTTGGAGTTGTAATAAGAAGTAAGTCAATTATCATCTTAAATAGTATCTTTAATATAATACGATAAATATAGTATTATAGAATAGTCTCTGAATTTAAGTGATAATTAAAGATAAAAGTAAATAAGAGTATAATTGAGTGAATTATAATATTTACATAAGTAATATTAGATTATTACCGCTCATGATATTTTTAATCAAAACCTATTTTTGCGTATATTTATGAATAGGGGAATACACTTTTAACAGGGTGCCAGTCAAAAAGTTGCCGCAAACTATGTTTCATTAATATTAATAACTGATTTTGGAGACGACATTAAGATAATAAAATTTTTTGATCATTTATACAGGATGAGTTTCCTACGATGTTCTCTGTGGGTATCTCGGAAACTACTGGAGATAGAGAGTCGGTTAAATGGGAAAAGAATTGCAGTTTTGTGGGGTCATAAATATGCGCCTTTCAGATTTTTGAAAAAGTTCATGGCTTACTAGATATTTAAAAAAAAAAATTTCGGCTATTTTAAAAATTGTCCATCCATTCCATTATTATTATTTTAGACAAAAAGTTTTCAGATATAAGTTGTAGATAATCACATCCCTAATGAGTTTGTGTTCTCCGATTTTTTCTAAAGCCTGTCATTTTTGACATATAACACAAACATATGTTTTTTAAATGGAAACAATAGTTGGCCATGACTTCATAATAAACGCCATTTTTAAGCGTTTCAGCGATATAAGCTATAATATGTTTCGAGATACCCAGAGAGAACATCGTAGGAAACTCACCCTGTATATCAAATTAAAGCTATTTTTGGCAACCCCTATTTGCGGCAAGTTTTTCATAGGCACCCCTTATAACATCATCCACAGAATGAAAATAGCTTTAATTTGACATGTAAATGATCATTGACATGATCATGATCATCATATTAATATAGAAAATAGATATCAATAGAAAAGAAGTAAGAGTTGGTAAAAAAGTTTGTCCTAGATTTTCATAAGACGTCATTCCTAGTATAAAATATACAAGCATTCAAAATATAGGTATGCTAACACATATTTTGGGTTGTAAGGGGTTGTACCATGTGTTTACATTATAATCGTAAAAGATTGGAGTGAAAAATCTGAAAAAGAAAATTAGCTATGGAGCTTTTTTGGAACACTGGTTCACACTGTATTACCATATTTATATTATGATTTATATTAATTTTTATAAATTACAAAAAATATAAAAATGTGATTTTTTGTTCGTAGAAGTAAAAACTTTTGTACGTCATATCAAAACCATGTTCTATGTTCGAATTAAATTTTCTCATTCATTCAAATACGAAACCAAGGCATCTAAAAGTCTGACAGAAATAGCAAAAGAAATTGTAGCGGAAATCAAATACAGAAGTAAAGGAATCGTTGCTTTCTTCAATCTCATGACCTCAGCTGTTATGTTGTTCTTCTTGTACATGGTCTTCCAGTAAGTTCTTGAAACACATATGTTTACATTATAATCGTAATTCTGTTGTAATTCTAGAACAGCTTATTATAGAATAAGATACTTAACAAGCGAGAGATTTGACAACATATACATTACCAAGAATTTTAGAGATATTGACAGAAGAAGATCAAAAATTGGTAGAGAAACAGTATTGCCCTTAACTAAAAAGGAGAGCAAAACATATGTTCCGGTAATTTTTATATTAACTATTTAAAGTTTTATTGTCAATACAACGGTATCATACTACCTATTACAGTAAATGTTACAGTTTAGGTTAGGCTCTTAATATCAATAACATAAAAACATACAGGCTAGCGCATCTCATTCGTCTCGGTTGATTATACCACACAATTATACGAAAACGGAAAGATGTAGAAATAAAATATTTTATGGGTATATGTGGGGAGGCAAAGGTGCTCGGTGGCGAAGGGGAGGCAAAGGTACAGGCTCTCGTCTACCAATCTGAAGGTAGTGGGTTCGATTCCCACACCCGGCAATTCATCAGCCGACTATTTTTATTAAAATTAAAATAGTGTTGGTGCTGAACTACTTGCATCAAGGGTAGATTTGGACCAGTAGTGCATATTGAAAAGTGACCCAAACGACATAAACTTTAATATAATAATAAATAACAAAAACAATAGGTAAAACACGAAAATAAGTGAAATCAAGGACGAACTTGGATTAATAACTAAATGACGTTACATGAAATAAACCCCTAGTTTTCGGCCGTTTTCTGTTAAAAGCAATATGGCGGCACAAAATTCCTAGAAATTTTAATAAAATTATTGATTATCCGACTTTTGGACATTCTGATCTTAGAACTACCTACGTATAATTAACCAAGAAATTCGTAAAAATTATATTGATGGACGATAATGTTACATAAACATGTTTAAAAACTTATGACGTCATTTTTTTAAGTAAACGCCCTAAATTCGGATGCATGAAAACTGAACTTAATAATTTTAATAATTTAAACGTTTTGATATTTAATCGGACGTTTTGATATTTTCACATAGGGGAAGCCCGGGCAAAGTGAACACCCCGGGCAAAGCGAATATCCCCCACTATTCTCAAACTATTCGTTTGGCATCAATCACGTGACATAGCAACGCTCGTCTGTCTTTGCTCAATACGCGGCAAACACCTAAGTGGGAGAGCAGGCCATGCGGCGTCCGCAGAACGGCAAACTGTGTTTTCGAAAAATAATTTCTAATATTTCGAGGTAAGTATTTTGATGATTAATGATTAGAAAGACTAAGAATTAATGATGTCACATCAAATAGATTTCAAGCAATGAAGGGTGTCAGGTAGGGGTGTGTTCTCTCACCCCTATTGTTCAATATTTATACCGAGTACATAATGCGTGATATTCTCGATAACTGGCAAGGTGGAGTATCTGTGGGGGGAAGGAAAATCAATAATCTAAGATATGCCGACGATACACTAATCATAACATCAAGTGTGGAAGAAATGGAATTTATTATGCAACGTCTCCAAGAAACTAGTACATAATTTGGGCTAAAACTTAATCCTAACAAAACTACTGTCATGATTGTGGACCGACAAAACAACAACCAACCTCACGTGGGAAACATAGCTGGATTTAAGGTGGTTAATAAATACTTATATCTGGGATCGCTAATCGACAACAGCGGCTCATGCGAAGGCGAAATAAGACGTAGAATTGCGCTGGCTAGAACAGCCGTAACTAAATTAACTAAGATATGGAAAGATACAGCCATCACTAAGAACACCAAACTAAGACTGCTGAACTCGCTTGTTTTCCCGATTGCTACGTATGGGGCGGAAACATGGACGCTGAAGAAAAGCGATACCAGGCGAATAGATGCTTTTGAAATGTGGGCATATAGACGTCTGCTACGTATACCTTGGACAGCCCATCGTACGAATGAGTCAGTTCTCCAAGAACTAAACTCACAACTCAGCCTCTCAAAAAAATAAACCGATGTTTTCTGACATATATTGGTCACATTGCTAGAAGAACGGACTCACTGCAGCTGCTAATAGTCGAGGGAAAGGTAGAGGGAAAGCGACCACGAGGAAGATCACCCAAGAGATGGGTTGATCAAACTAAAGACCTAATCGGCCAAGGCCTTCATGAAACCGTCAGCATGGCTCAAAATAGAGCGGACTGGCACAATACGATAAAAACCGCTACAGGAACATCATAGTCACTAATCCCTCTTCAGGACCAACGGACCAAAGAGAGAGATTTTGATGATATTTTCTATATTATTTGTTTATTACTATTGGGCGTATTACAGTTCTATTACGTGTCAAAGAGCTTTATTATAATATGTCGAACGGAGAATTGAAATCAATAGTTTTCTTATGAATTGACTTAACCTTAAAAATGGTTGTGCTGGGCAAAGTGAATAGGGCAAAGCGGATATGGTATCCACTTTGCCCGGTTTTTACGATTATTTAGTTTCGGTATTACAAAGCTCATATTTTGTTGCAGATGGTGCATAAATATAAAAAAAAGACTAATCAAGGCTCTTGGGATAAAGATGTTATGCGGACGGCTATAAATTTATGCAAAGCCGGAGAATCGGTGAAGGGCACAGCTAAGAAATATGGTATGGCTTATGCGACTTTGTACAGACACGTCAAAAGTGGTAACGTTACTCCAAAACTCGGCAGATTCCGCCCAGTTTTCAGCGAAGATCAGGAAATAGAGTTAAGGACCTATCTCAAAGACATGGATTCCGTGTTTTTTGGATTAACTCGAGATGAGTTTAAGAATTTAACATATACCTACGCCAAAAAAAATAATTTGAATTATCCAAAAAGTTGGGACAAGTATGAAAAAGCCGGAGATGATTGGCTACAATCATTTTTGTCACGTCACAATGCCATTACTCTCAGGACTCCGGAGGCAACATCGGTTGCAAGAGCGAAAGGATTCAACAGACATGAAGTCGGACGTTTCTATGATAATCTTGAATCTTTGATTGACAAATACAATATTGACGCTCTAGATTTTATAATATGGACGAAACCGGTATTTCGACGACAACTAACAAACCCCCTAAAGTACTATCAATAAAAGGAAAGAAACAGGTAGGCATAATTGCAAGTGCGGAGCGTGGCCAATTAACGACAATGATCGGTTGTTGCAATGCCATTGGTTCATTTTTACCGCCCTTCCTTATTTTCGCCAGAAAGAAGATGCAGTCTAGGCTACTCGACGGTGCTCCTCCCGGGACTCAAGGTACTTGTACACCAAATGGTTGGACTTCAGGTGAGGTATTTCTTGCTTGGTTGCATTTCTTTGTAGAATATACACGACCTAACGCCGACAAAAAGGTACTTTTACTTTTGGACAACCATGAGAGCCACAAATACTATCCTGCATTGGAATATGCAAGTAAGAATAATGTCATAATTTTATCCCTGGCCCCGCATACTACTCATAAAATGCAGCCTATGGATGTGGCCGTTTACGGCCCACTAAAAACCTACTTTGAAAGAGAGGTTAATATGTTCCAAAAGGCTCATCCTGGGCGCATTATAAATCAATACGACGTAGCCAGACTGTTATCACCAGCCTTTCTGAAAAGTTCAGTAGCCATAAATGCAGTTCATGGATTTGAACGGCCTGGCATTTGGCCAGTAAACAAACACGTTTTTGGTGAAGAACACTTTGAACCAGCGGATGTGATTGCGGGCAGATCAGATATGAATATTAGCCGAGTAAGCATACATTCCTTACAAACAATAGAAATTCCTGATACCGCTGCAGAAGCCTCTTCAACTCCTTTGCCCTCACATTTACAAGAAAAGATTTTAACAGTTGATCCTCCAGGAGAAATGATTCCGCGTCCAGACAAACCCACAAAGAGCGACTCATCTAAGCCTCAACTTCAAGAAAGCACCCCAGAAAAAAATAATGTTCAGAGTGACATTGCCATTACACTAGAACCAGGAACAGAGTCACTTAAAGTTTCTTCTACTTTGGAACCGAATGCGACAAGTATTCCTGTTGTACATTCTCTAAAAGGTGATGCAATGGTACCAGATACTTCAAAAATATTCGCAGAAATAACGACCGTGACGACCCTCCACCGAATCCGGAACCTGGATGTTCAAACTTTCACCAGAGTCCCATATCATTAAGACCAATACCAAATCCTTATAAACCACTGACAACTCGTAAACGCAAATTTCAAAAATCAGAAGTTTTAACTAGTACTCCTATCAAAGAAGAGCAAAAGCAAAAATTTGAAAAAAATAAAGTAAAGAATATTACTAAAAAATTAAATGTAGAATTAAACAAATTTCCTAGAAAGACTGCTAAAAAAGGTAAACAACCAAAGAAAATTAGGAAATTTGAAGATATTGTATGTTTTTTTTGCGGTGAAATATATATTGAAGAAGATGATTTTCCAATTGAAGATTGGATTCGCTGTGGTCGGTGTTTCCAATGGTGTCACGAAGAATGTCACGTGATACTTAAAGATATTTAAATATGCATGCTACAATAGAATAAAGTAGCAACACCCTGTACATTACTTTTCCGAATTAATACTTGTGAAGACTTTAAAAACAGAGAAATAAACTTTACTGATGAATTTTATCGTTTCCTTAAACTTATACAGGGGTACCACAAATTGTTGATCTATTTTAAATATTTATTTTTCATAAAAACTTCGTTATTTCAAATGCAACACCCTGCATTTTTTTTTAAATAAATCGAAGCAGATTTAAATGCTTTTTCAAACTATATTAGGGTTTCCCATACCTATATATAAGTAAGTATTCGTTATTTTATCAAGAAAAATAAAGCAGTGTCTGCCGGCAGAACGAATGGATATATTACTAGTGATTTTATTTTGTGAGAAAAATTACTTCTTGGCCAAAGATACCCAAATAGGAATCTGATAAGCGTTCCTTTGAAAAACTACATGTCCTATTTCTCAGATCTGGTAGAGTGGTTTATAAAAAACCTATTAGGCAGAAACATTGTTATAAATTTAAATAAAGTCCATAAACTAATTTTAATTTTGAAAATAGCTACTAACTAGAAACTTGCCATAACGACACCTCTTGATTGCCAATTTATTGAAAAATTGCACTTTATTCAAAATCTGAGGTAATATAGTTTGAAAGAGCATTTAAACTTGCTTCGACTTAATTTAAAAAATACTGTGTATTTGAATTTTTTTATGTAAAATAAATATTTAAGATAGACCAGTAATTGTTGATACCCCTGTATACATTAACCGAAGCAATCAAATTTTTCAGTAAAGTTTATTTCTCTGGCTTAAAAGCCGGCAAAATAATTAATTCTGGAAAACAATGTACAGGGTGTTGGCAATTTTTTTATTATAGCATGCATATTTAAATATCTCAAAAACCAAAGCTTGTAAACATATTTAACCCTTATAATAAAAACCTTTTTTGGGCTCAAAAATTCAAAAATGAAATAAAATACCGGGTGTTCCATAAGGAAAAATATAACTAGATATGGATCTTAGTTCTGGTATACCCTGTATATTTCAAAATAATTTTAAATTATACACATTGCCTTCCCACATATACCCATAAAATATTTTGTTTCTACATCTTTCGATTTTCGTATAATCAACCGAGGCGAATGAGGTGCGCCGCCACCCTGTATACACAAATCTACTTCTATTCACCAAAACGTTTTATTTTTAACTCTTGAAGTTAATTTTATTAACTCTATTAGCATCATCTGCTGATAATGATGATGGTCATGCGGTTTGCAAGACAAACGTTTAAAATTTTTTGGTCGATTTGTGTAATCTTTCAGAACTACAATTTCTGTACAAAATTATAATTATTTACCTAGATATCTTCCGGAGCCTTAGCTAGCTCAGAAAGAAAGAAGCTATCCAAATCAGCAGTTTCTTTAGCCACTGCTTCTGTTAAACTGGCCACCCATATGGTTGCAGATTACTGTTTATATTGGATATTGACCATGATAACGTATCACGGAAGATATCAATCGAAAATTCAAGGCAATGCTTGTGTGATTGTATTTATTGTCAAAAGTAACTAATAATCAATTTCAGCACCTAATCTTCCTGTTGCACATATTTCTGGCGAAGGATTTATTGCAAAACTCCTACGAGTTATCGTCAATGCATTTCAACCAGCTGGAATTCAACTGGAAATTGATACAGTGCCTTGCCTGCCAATTCCAATACCTCCAGATTTTGACCGATATATTCAAATTGGTACTACAAAAATAGACAGCTATACATCTAAACTGATAAATACTGTATAATACTGTAATGATACGTTACAACCATTATTTGTGATAGATAATTCCGACCAAAATGTGTCAATTTGTTTAGATAAATATATTAACCATGTTGTGAAATAAGTATACAGGGTGGTCCAAACTGTATTCCGGAAACTTCGGCAGCATATTCTGCAGATAAAAATAAGTAAAAAAGTTCGTATAAATGTATGTCCTAAAATGCTTAGTTTCGGAGATACAGAGTGTAGAAGTTTCATTTTTATTTCGATTTTTTCCATATAATTCCTGAAGTAACGCGGATGTGATGAATATCTGGATGAAAATTGGTGGATGGGTGTTTTTTGTAGGTGGCGCCACCTACATGTGTTTTAACTGTTTTGAAGAGTAATAACTTTTCGTCGGTACCCGTATAAAACTACTGAGTAAAAAAATATACATTTACAACTTTTTTTTACATAAAGAGGGTCTCTTGGTAAAAATCGCTACGAGTAATGGTTCTCGAGATATTTGGAATCGAAATTATCGATACCTGTCATCATTGGACATAAATTAAACATGTTGACTAAATAGTTATTAGACAGAAATCATAAATTTGAAATCTTTTTGTATCAAAAGTTCAAAAGAAACTGTTTAATTATCATTTTTTCGCAGAAAAACTTACGATTAATTTAAAAAAATAAAAATTTATTATTTCACTCAAATAACTATACTCAACGTGTGCTTATTTTTTGTCAATAATGACATGTATTGACTATTTCCATTCTAAATATCTTGAGAACGGTTGCTCGTAGCGATTTTTACCAAGAAATATTTTTTACATAAAAAGTCATGGAAATGTATATTTTTTTAGTCAGTGGTTTTTATACAGGTACCGTCGAAAAGTTATTACTCTTCAAAACAGTTAAAACATATGTAGGTGGCGCCCCCTACAAATAGAAGTAATTTTGACATAAAAATCAAATTTCTCGTGTCACAAAACTCCCAAATACCACTTTTCATCCAAATATTGACGTTACTTCAGAAATTATTTGGAAAAAAATCAAAATAAAATGAAACTTCTACACACTGTATCTCCGAAACTAAGCATTTTAGATCATACATTTATACGAACTTTTTTACTTATTTTGATCTGTAGAATATACTGCCGAAGTTTCCGGAATACAGTTTGGACCACCCTGTATATTTAGATATGCATATTTTTTAGGTATCACACTTATGCTTTGTTGGATATTAACATTACTTGAACCTTACGGGTTAAGATTTCGAAATTATATCATGGGATATTACCATCCTTTAAGAGCAAAACAAAGAACTATTTGGTTGTACAATCATATTTTAAGATCGCGAGCCACGTTCTTGATATTTGCCAGAAGACAACTGAGAAGAAAATTTGGGAAAAAAGGGACAGACTATATAAGCTGTAAAGAATTATTAAGATCAAAATTAAGGCAAGCGTTATCTCCACTAAAACTAATATTAATGATTAAAAAAATTGTGTGTGTACAATGTGCGCATATTTGAAGTGAAACTATTAACAGCTATTAAATTGAATGATTTGAAGGACATGTTTGAAAAAGTGTAGTTTGAAATGTTGAAAAAGTAATAAATTAAAAAAATAATAAATTGTTTTATTCACTTTCACAAAATTTGTATTAAAATGACCGTCTGTCCGTCTGAGGACTCCATTCGAGTATCTCTATCCACGTGCCGAGTTTGGTTCCAATCGACCCATAATTAAGAAAAATCCTGATGATTTCGTCCATTTAGAGGCATTGGTTCGAAACGTCGAGGGCGTCATCTTGTATCCCGTCCCCAATTATACCGATATCGACCCACATTTTTCTTCAATATCAAATCCTTAGTCCCACCTTGATGAAGATGTAAACGAAACGTCGTATCCCACTTTGCAGGGTGGGACCGTGTGCCCCGTCGCTAACATAGCCTACCTACCGAATTTGGTCGCGATTGGACATCAACTTATGACGTTTCTTACATCAAAACTAACTGTCACAGTGACCCTGTCATATACGGTCAAGTTTGCCTTGGTCTATCTACTCTTGTTTCGCCATTGATGATGAGGTTTCATAGTGCACGAAACATCATCAAAATATCATGTAAAGAGTATTCAGCCCCCTAGCTCTAGAGTTACGACGCTACAAAGACCTATCTCAACTTGCTCATTGGCTTACCACTCTTTCAATCGGAACCACTCTTCGTCTCGCGTGTCATCTCGCTAGCTCATGTGTCACGGCTTTAAATTTTTACTCCCAGCGCGCGTAAAGGAGTTTTACTTCAAAAATCTCTACTAAAAATCACTGAAACTCCATGTAAAATAGATTTCTATAAATATAAACAAAAACACTGTCAAATTCCTCATTGTATTCATTTAATCATTTTTCTGACCTCATCTGAACGTTTAGCGTTCTTCTGATGCATTTAACTACGTTTTAATATGACTCTTTTTTTCATTTTAATCTAAAGAATTGTTTTCTTCCAAATATATATGTGCTAGTTTTTAATAGTCTGTCCAGCAAGAGTAGGGATGATTTCAACAAACTACATTTAAAAATTGGCAGAAAATTCATGATACTATTAAAATAAAATGCCTTACAATAATTGTCAATGCCATGTATTCTCAGATTTCTGTTCTGTATTATAACAACACGATTTTAAACGTATGCCTAATTTTTAGTTGTGGTATATTGAGAATTTGTCTCGGAAGTGATCTACAAAAAACATGTCTGCTTTGCGGAGACGTGTATCGTGAAGGTGATGATAACAAATTTTTCAAATGTCAAACTCCTGATTGCCCCGGTTTTTTCTGCCTTGAATGTTTTAAGGATTTAAAAAACATCTGTCCTGTTTGCTTATCTCCTATTGAATATGGAGATTTGGACGATGCTGATGAAGAGAAGTATGCACTTTATAATATTTCACTAATATCTGAAATAATAACTGCACCTTCTCAGAGATTCCTCAGGTGATGAATCGCCTTCCAAGAAACCGAAAAAGAAAAAAAGAAAATGTCCATGTTTCCCTTGTGGTAGAGATGACAGCGATGACCGAGAACAATTAATTGATAAAAGAGAAGATAAAGAGTATCCGGAAGACAAAGAAGGCACCGAAGATGAAACTGATACATCCACCGACTATTCAACTACTTATCAATATGATGACACTGAACAAAAGCCATATCCAAAAGATTCAGTTTTGAAAGATGTAGAAATGCAACCAGTTCCAGATTATGCCAGCATGGAACATTTTAGAAATGAAAGAAATGTAGAAGTCGGAATAGAAAATATCATTCATATGTCGAAAGATGCTGGGACAATAGTAGAAATAGATATTAAAGAAATATGCGGTAAGTATTCCAGTAAATCCTCAGGCATAATAATAAAATTTAGTACAAAAAACTAACAGTTCTTAATATTATCATAGTGTGAACGTTGATTGAAAGAATTGGGAAGATACGCAACCTAATGGGCAAATTCGTGACAAGGCTAATTTGATTTCCCCTTACGTCTCAAGTTCTGTGTGGTAGAGCCACATTCGTTCTGCGTCCAAGGCATAAAACACTCATTTTCTCTAATTCGGCTAGCGAAGAAATATCGGAGACGGTGTGGAACTGAAAACGACAGTGTTGCCGTATTAAAATGTGTAATATCATGACGTTTGATGAATTTGTTTATATGTATTGAAAATTTATTTGAGTTAAACATAGAATAAACATTAAAAATATTTTTTTATAGATACTGAATATTTCGTATGATCGATAAAAGTCGTTTAGTTGGCTTGGAAGTGACCATTATTGCCATTTACCATAATATTTTACATATGAAATAACAGAATACTTCATTTCCAAGCCAACTCTGACGCCGTTCTTTGTTTAATGATATAATATTCTATTGAATTGTTTAATGATACAAAAGCCGTATTATTAACGTACTGTGGCCAAAATCTGTAGTTCTGACAACACTGTTCCCGGCAACCACTTACTATCGACTAAAAGTAGAACTACGGTAAAGTATTCTTTATCGGCTGCGCTGTAACAGACTATCAGTGCGCAGCGGCGCAGAGCTAAACTAAATCTCGGACAGCCTGACGGAAAACTCCCAAGCCAGCTATCTCGGGCATATTTTGTGCCACGAAATCGCCCATAAGGTTGCGTATCTCTTGTATAACCTTTTCCCCGTCAATTTATTATTCTCATGATATACAGGGTCTTAAATAAATGCAAATATTTTCAGGGCTGGTAGATAAAAGAAACATATTTTCTCATAACCGTTTTTCAAAAAGTCCAAAATAACCGAGTTATTTCACTTGGAAAATATTCTAAAAATATGATTTTTTGCTTAAATTTTGAATACCACATATCTTTTCTAGATTTTCTTTCTTGTAAATTTAATATACTACCTATGTTGCCATATTATCAAGAAATGTTTTATGTTTTTTAACTTAAAACCAAAAAAAAATCCAAAAATTTCCAAACTTTCTATTTTTTTTTTTCACGCGAAAAAACAGAGACATATTTCTCGGGCCGAAATATACTAGTCCTAAAAATATCTGTACATATTTAAGACTCGCCCTGTATATTTAATTATTTTTTTTTTGTAAATAAACTAGAACAAATAATACTAGAAAAATAATACACTTTTATTTGAGATGCCGATATAGAAGAACAATGTTCCGAGTCAAGTCCCCTTATCGATTCAGCCAGTCAGTACTCAAATCAATCAGAGAAAGAAACAAGGCATGTTGAATTCATCGGTGTACCCAATCGATGCACAGATACTAGAGGAAAAGTCAAACACAAACTAAAGTATTTCCCATCGCCATCAGTATGCATATGTTCAGATCTTGATTTGGCAGAGCAGTTTGAAGAAACTTCGTTTGTAACATTGCCAAAAAGTACAATGTCTACCAGCACCAGGTCAGATTGTAAATTTTGCAAAGCGCCTAGAGCTCATGTTATTTCGGCTCTAAATATTGGTTACGAAACTGAAGAGGAACTTAGAAACATCGTACCAAAATTAGATTTGTCGTTTTTAGATGGAGGAATAAATCAATTTGACTCTCCAAAGTTTACAGATAGGTAAAGCAAGATTGCGGAGACAAAAATTTTAAATTCTATTTTGTGTATTTTTCAGTTATATAATTGTGTAGGTATTTGGCCTTTTAATAACACAAAACTTGTTTGTTTAGATTCACAAATGTTAGATATGAGGAAATGTGCGAGACTCCTAGTTCTTCACGAAGATCTTTGGAATCCTCTTCAATCCTTTCTAGTCTTCAACACTCATCATCAGATCGAGAAACTAATCCTTTTATTAGGCGAAGAAATACTGATGCTCGCCGAATGGCATATAATACAGCATATAGTAGAGATAATATGGATTCCTCAAGTTCGATAGATAGCTATGAAATGAACAAAACAAGAAATCGAAAAATTAAACAGTATTATGAAACTACAAATAGACTTTGTATGGACGAACGTTGTCAATATATAAAGAAAAAGACGCCATTTAAAGATATGTTTAAGAAACTGCTACCAAAGGTAAGATATTTAAACAATAACATATTATATAAATATACATAAAACTTCCAGAATAATTAATTGTAATAATTGGAAGTGTTAAGCTGGTCAAATTAGTGTACAGGGTGGGTCAAATTGAACGCTTTTAAAAGGAAACGCCCTTTTCTATAAGAGATTGAGAAAACTAATATCGGTGTCTGGAGCTCAATTTTTATCAGAAATATGAAGGTGAAAATCGTTCATCGATATCTGTTACAGTTTCGGAGTTACGGGGTGTTTTTCAAAAATGTGCATTTTAAGAAATCGCTGTAACTTTTTTGCTATGGAACATTCTGTATTTGTATGAAAACATTTTCAAAGCATCTCTTTACGTAGAATTTAATGGTTTAAGTATAATTTTTTTAAAATTAATAATTTAAGAGTTATCAACAGAAAACTAGGTTTTTATTGCGGACAACCTATATATTTTTGATTAACTGAAAAGAACTTAAAATTACCTTTCCAAAAATATAGCACACTCGATATTGTGTTATAGTCCCCTTCAAAATACAGAATTTTTAAAAGTTCGCCACTTTTAACTAGTAGGCTTTGGACCCCTTATTGATGATCTGCCCCCAACGGAACTCGAAAACATATTTTTCCAGCAAGATGATGCTCTGTCTCAGAACGCTAAAGTTATCAGCAAATTTTTGCAACTAATTTCGAGAATAATTGAATAGCTAACCATGGTCCCAGCCGTTGGCCGTCGAGGCCGCTGAGGCCGCCGGATTATTTCTTATGGATTTTTATCCTTGCGGGAATAAAGATTCTTATTTTTAAATTGCCCGTATAATCTAGACAAGAATTAAAAGTACTTAGCGGTTATGCGAGGGTATCTTTCACCCTACTGAGTTAATGAATTCCGCGAGAAATGTTCAAAAACGGTCACGTCTGTCCATAACAGAAGACAGTCGTCATGTCGAACACCTATAGTAAAATCTCTTGTCTTGGTTTGCTAATAATTTTTATTATTATTAGATATAGTTTAAATGTGTTGATGTTGTTAAAATATAGTTTAAATTGTTATAAAATTCTGCACCTCTCACTCCAAATATTATTTTCGCTTTAATTGTTGCTCACAGTTTTTTTGCATTACAGCCGGCGCCACACACTGGCCGATTTGAATTAAATCAAGACATAAAAAGAGTTACGCGTTTTGTTTTTATTAAAAATTAAAAAAATTAACATAATTTACCTAAATATATAAACTGAAGTAGTTTTAGTTTCATATTTAACAGAAATTGTATTATACAGGGTAACCAAAGCGGTAACCTAGGCTATAATCAGAATACCGTTTATAGTAGTATAGTATAGTATTTATTCGAAACTAAGACTTTTAGATTACACTGTATAATTTTATTGCGGGTAACTTCGGGCAACCTTTTTGGGTGGATACTATACCGGGTGTTGCATCGTCGAGCGGGACATAGGAAATCCCATGTAAATTTTAATGGGGTCAATTATTGGCTTTCCTAATTATTTTAAAGAATAATTCTATTTAGGTTTATTGAAGAGCACTAAAACCCACATTCAAAAGAATAACTTTAGATATTTTTGATTAGCCCGTTTACGAGTTATCGCCGATTTCTTTTTAAATATTTCTCCTTTCTTATGGCCATGTATTTACTTATGAGCACCAGTCAAGGTAAAAGATATGATTAAAACTGACTTGATTTGATTTGAAAAACGCTAAAAGTCATAATATTTTTCCCTCCAGCGCGACCGGTGGTTCGTCACAGAACTAATAAATTTGTGTATAACTGGTTGCGGTGAAAAAGTCCTTTCAAAGATCTCAATTTCAGTTTCCCATATATTTTAGTTTGTATATGATAACTGTCAAAGTTGTCATTTCAGAAATTTATCTATTTAGTGCTTTATGATTATTATTAAAAACTCATACCTACATCGAAAATATTAGCCATGAATTACACTACCAAAGAAAAATTATTGATGATTAAAAGGTATTATCAAGGAAATAGTTATCAAAAGGTGTCGGATATCAGTGGCGGATACAGAGGGGGGGGGCCATGGGGCCCGGGCCCCCCCTAAAACCTGTAAATTTGGTTAAATATTAGCCTTTTGGGTTAAAAATGGCGCCCTAAAAAGCATATTCTACGTTACTTTTTTTTTGAGCCCCCCTAAAATAAATTTCTGTATCCGCCCCTGTCAGACATGTTTGCAGCTCTGTATCCGAATAGACCGATACCTGGAAAATCTACAATCGCAAGGAATATCCAGAGATTTGAGACCAAAGGTACCCTAATAAATAACTGCAGATGTGAAGCAAGGCGGGAACGAAGAGAAGATGCAAGAAATGATACCGACTTGGAAATTTTATTGTGTGTGGAAGATAACGATGGAAAGATCAGCAGAAGGAAACTTGAGGATGAAATAGGAATAGATCACACTACAGCGTTTCGAATTTTGAAACGACATAAATACTATTCCTTCAAATATGAAAAACACCAAGAGCTACGAGATGGGGACGAAATACGGCGGCAGGCGTTTTGTTTTGATATGATGGAAAGAGCAAATACGGATAGGGAATTATTAAAAAACATATGTTTCACTGACGAATGCACGTTTACCTTAAATAATGAACCCAATGTTCAAAATTATCGATTTTGGAACAAAGAAAACCAACACAGGTTTGTCGAAACCAGGACGCAATATCCACGGAAAGTAAATGTTTGGGCAGAGATATTCGGACACAATATTATCGGGCCATTATTTCTTACGCGAAATTTAAATGCAGAATATTATTTCGAACTACTCGAAAATCATATTTTACCTGCTTTACATGAGGCCGCTAGGGAAAATCAGGAAGTTTGGTACCAAATGGATGGCTGCCCGGCACATAGTACCCTGGCTGTTCGGGAATATTTAGACAATAGTTTTAACGGAAACGTTATTGGCCTAAATCATACAGTAAATTGGCCAGCAAGGTCTCCTGATATTTCGCCAAATGATTTCTTTCTCTGGGGCCATTTAAAAAACAGGATATACAAGGATAAAAAATACCCAAATCTAGACGAGTTAAAAAATGCTATTTCTGCCGAATGCAATAGAATTTCAGTTTACCAACTAGCGAATGTAAGACGAGAATTTTATGATCGCCTGGGTTATTGTCTAGCAGTCGATGGAGGAATATTTGAACATCTTCTTAAATCCTAAAGTTCTAACAATTTAATAGTACCTCAATTAATAAGTTATTGAATATTGTAATAATACTAAAATTAACCTTGTAATTGATTACTTTATTTTACTTTAATTCATATTAATTTGTATTTATAAATACATCTTTAAGATTTCCGATGTAGGAATGAGTTTTCAATAATAATAAGGCACTAAATAGGTAAATTTCTGAAATGACAACTTCATTTGACAGTTATCATAAGAAAGGAGAAATATTTAAAAAGAAATCGGCGATAACTCGTAAACGAGCTAATCAAAAATATCTAAAGTTATTCTTTTGAATGTGGGTTTTAGTGCTCTTCAATAAGCTTAAATAGAATTATTCTCTAAAATAATTAGGGAAGCCAATAATTGACCCCATTAAATTTTACATGGGATTTTTTACATGTCCCGTCCGACGATATATATCCCCGGTATAGAAAGGCATTGCATAATATTGAAAAAAATATGTGACATTGGAAATATGGTGAGAACACAATCAAATTGCTTTTTGTATTTTGATTTTTTAATAATTCATTAAGAATATCATATTACCTAGCTTATTATCTCATACGATTTTTAAAATACAGACTTATACTATTATTTTTTGGTATTAAATAAGTCCATATCTCAGTAATCCCATTCCATAACTACAGTTTTAGAATTTAAAAAAAATAAAGCTTTTTATTACATTTGAGCACATCAATTATTGTATATCTATTTAACTGCACGCTTAAAACTTGCCAACTTTTAATCAACTTTGACCTTTCATGAAACAATAAATCATTCATTTGGTTTGTCAAAATCATGGGTAACTAGTCTGCTGGAATAGTAAAGTATCAGCACTGACATTTTTGTGACCAATTGCTAAAAGTAAATATTTCTATTTATGCCATGATTTGATTAGATTCGGCCAGTGTGCGCCGGCGCCTTTCAAAGCTTACTTATTCAAAGTGGGTGAATTTTTAAAAACTCTATATCTCAAAGAGGAATCGAGCAAAATATCAAGTATATGATATTTTTCTGTAAAGGTAATTTTAAATTCTTTTCAATTAATTAAAAATATACAGGGTGTCCCATATAAAAAATCAAATTTTCTATTGATAATTCTTAAATTATTAATTTAAAAAAATATATACTTAAACTATTAAGTTCTACGTAAAAAAGTGCTTTGGAAATATTTTCTAAAAATACAAAATTTTTTGTGATTTGTTAAAAATACATATTTTTGAAAAACACTCCGTAACTCGGAAACGGTAACAGATAACGACATGCGGTTGTGACCATCATGTTGTTGATAAAAATTGAGCTCCAGGCACCGATATTAGCTCTCGTCTATTTCCTATAGAAAAGGATGTTTCCCTTTAAAAACGTCCAATCTGACCCACCCTGTACATTATATTAATCTGTATAATATACATATAATAATATTTAATCAAACTATACGTGGTTTTCGTAAATGTTTCAAAAACATTTTTTATATAAACATAGCCATATAATGTTCAGATTAAGTCGAATTAAATACAAATAAGTATTTATCTCGGTATTTATATAATTAAATCTGTGGTTAAAAAAATCTTTGTGCTTTTCTATAACTTTAATTCAAAGTTTACATTCGAAATATTAATATTAATATTAACAATAGCACTGTGACAAATAGATTAATATTAACAATAGCACTGTGATATTCAGGAACACATCAAAAAACGATAGGAAACATCACATATACAATTAAAATAAATATAATTTTATTATCGATTTTTTTTCTAATAATTTAAAAAGTATTTTTTTGTCAAATGTTTCAATTTTGACATAATATGTCATCTTAATCGTATTTTTTTGTTGAAATTTTAGCGCAAAAAGAACAAACAAACTCTACCATTGTATCTAAGAGACATCGACGATACTGTTGAAGTGCGTTCGTACAATTATTCAGCCGAAAATTGGGACATTTTGGATGCAGAGACAGATTCCCCAACCTATCCATTCGGCAGTCGACAATCCAGCACCGCTTCTGAAGAACAGCTCCTTCTTGGCAGCAGAAGAATACGTGGAGGCGAATGTACTCACCTTATCAACTGTAAATTGATTGGAAGAACTTGCACTCAAAGAATACCACAAGCTAATTATATCAACAGTAAAATCATATATAATTTAATATCTCCAACACCGACCAAACTCAAATACTAATTTTTCAGGGCAATTGTTATACAAAGACTTCTCCAAACTTGCTTTGCCCCCAAAGCCAAAGTCTGCCAATGTTATCGATATCTTATCAAGATATTTCCTTAGCATAGAAGACTTGACACCCACAAGAGATCCTGGGTTTTCAATGACAACGCCTGAATCTTTCAGAAATACACAGCCGGGACAAAATATTGAACCAAATTTGAAGAGTGGAGAGTCCGATTTTATTATATCAAGATCATCCGCTGCGGTTCTGAATCTTCCAGAAGAGGCGACACCCGCTTCTTCGGAAAGTGGTCTTAGTAGTACGGTTTGTCGAGAACTTTTTGGTGATACTTGTCCAAAAGGAATAACTAAGGGAGCGTCAGAAAATACAAACCCTTTTATGAATGATCAGGAAACAGAGCAAATCAACATTTCCATAGAAAATAATTTAAATGATACGAGTGGTTCTAATTTAGTAGAAAATTCATTTACTTCAGAAGAAAAAACTTTAAGTGACCCTATAACAGCACAACAAAACTCTCTAACTCAAATAATAAAAGAGCCTTCAGTAAAAAGCAACCATAGCATTCCATTAAGCGTTAAAAGTGTTAATCAAAAGAGGATATCCTCACAGTTCGAAAGAACTGCTTCGGAGGCACCTTTAGAAAAAGTGAGTGTGTCAAGTATCCAAAAGAAAGCATCTTCGAATTTGGAACAAGCAATTTTGGAAGAACCAGTAATTTTATCAAATAAAAGGTCCAGAGAGGGGAAGGACGAGCTATTGTACAAAGATAACAAAACCGAAATTAGTCTTGTAAGAAGTTTAAACGGGGATAAAAAGCAATCAAAACTGACTTTACCTCAATCAAATACAGTCCTTCGTAAACCTTCTTTAAAACTGCAAATAACGTTACATAATACATTAATTGAAGAGGAAGCAAATTCTGATATAATTAATATGAAATCTCCTCAAAGCAAAGACAAATTTGTTGAAACAACTGAAACTTTCCCTCTAAAACCCGACTGGCTGCTTTCCAATGACAGCGCAGCTGGAAAAATAGTTATAGCCAATGACAAAATGCAACAAACTTCAGATAATGATTTTTGTCGGTCTTCGGCTAACATCATCAAAACAAATTCGAAAAACATTTCAAGACCCTGCCTGTGTCCTTTAACTTCGGGTGATAGTTTCAAGGTAGTACGTCAATCGCGAGAATACAGTGATATTTTTAGGCCAGATGCTTCAACACCAAAATACACTACATCTGAGAATTACTATTCATACGAAATACCTGAGAAAGATCCTAATACACAACGTCATTGCAAATGCCCTGCTTGTCGCGCAAAACAAATGAATCGGTACAAAAAATCTTCAGAAGAAGAATCATTGTCTGGTGACTGGCAGGAACAACATCAACATTATAGAGCTAATAATCCACCATGCAATTGCTGCAGGTGTTTAAATTCTCTACCACCAATAGAAACGACGTACAGAAGAGATACCTTCAGAACGCCATCTCCACCACCTTTTTATTATCCACCTGAACAAGCTTACAATGAACCTCGATACATTCAACAAGTTTATCCCGAAGTTGCACTACCAACCAGATTATCCCAGGATACTGAGGCTTCGAAAAAACCTTATAACGTTCATATAGAACATTATCATACCGAATGTCAGTACTGTTGCAAGCCTCGAATGCCTTCGCCACAGAGATACCCTAAAATGAATCGAGACAGACAATACATACCTCGATCAAGGTTTAGAAAACCTTACGGTATTCCTAGAAACTACGATCCCAGATCTTACACTTCTACGGAAGAAACTGAGTATAGTGATTACGATCCGAATGACGAAAACAATTTGACGGATTTACCATACCAAGATAATGAGGATTACTTAGAATTGGTTCAGGAACTGCAAGATACCTTACACACCCGGAACAGAAACAGAGTAAGAAAAACTATGCAAGAATTCGAAAAGCGAAGTAAGCAAAATAAGCCTTTGGAAAAACCGATCATAGACTACGATCAGGCAAGCGAAAGCGAAGAGCCGATAATAAAAAAGATAGAGGAATTGAAAACGTGTAAGAAAATGTGTTGTGCAGGAGATAAGTGCACATGCCAATCGAAGAGAGATGCCCCAAAAACGGGGTCGCTTGGGAAAGAGAAAGCCAATGTACAAGATCTTAGGGAAGATGTCGAAAGGCCTTCTCATTGGACAATGGATCCAGGTTCTGGAGAATGGTATAAGGACCATAAAGACTCCAAATCTAGAGGATCAAAAAGCTCCAGAAATAGTTCTGACGTAAGGGAGTGTTTCTGTAAATGTAGGCAGGCTAGACGTATGTAAAAATCATCTTGTTTCATATCTGTCAGTTTAAAATTGACAATAATAAAAATGTTCAAACGAGATACATTTCTTGGTGAACAATAATACTAAGTTTATATTGTTTTATTTGCACTTGTTAACAAAAAATATGCCTTTACCAGTTGATCTCTGAGATTACATTAAAACCTACTTTTTAGGAAAACGTTGAACCAATTCTGACTAAACACCTTACTTCCTTTATTATCTGGATGAAATAAAAAAATGCCAAGCCGATATATTTGAACTTTACTTTGTATAGCTGTAACAAATATTATTTTGTAACAAAAACATGCTTTATCTTTTCAATTATACAGGGTGAGCCTTAAATAAGTGCAAATATTTTAAGGGCTGGTAGATCTCGATAAAAGAAACATATTTTCTCTTGTTTTTTTTTTGAAAAATTAAAAAAAATATGAATTATTACTCAAATTTTGAGAACTTTCTTGTAAATTTATTCTACTACCTATGTTGCCATATTATCAAGAAATTGTTTTTTAACTAAAAATTCCAAATTTTCAATTTTTTTTTCGCGAATAAACCTCATAGGCGTGTTTCTTTGGCCGAAATATACTACCTCAAAAAATATTTACACTTATTTAAAACTCACCCTGTATATTAAATCATTTTTTTAATAAACTACCTAGAACAAATAATAATAGAAAAATAATACACTTTTATTTGAGATGGCGATATAGAAGAACAATATTCCGAATTAAGTTCCCTTATTGATTCCGTAAGTCAGTACTCAAACCAATCAGAGAAAGAAACAATAAGGCATGTTGAATTTATCGATGTATATTTCGACCCCAGAAACAAGATTATGTGTTTTTTTCGTGAAAAAAAAATTCTTGAAAATTTGGAATTTTTTTATTTTTTTTAGTTTTTAGTTAAAATCCATAATTTCTTTATAATATGATTTGATTTGGTAAAATAGAAGTTCATAGGTACTAGATTAAATTTACAAGAAAGAAAACCCAAAAGAGATCCAGTGGTTCTCAAAATGTTAAAAAATATTTTTTTTTAAATTTTCAAAGTTAAATAACTCGGTTATTTTTGACTTATTTCAAAAACGGTAAAGTATATTTCGAGATCTACCAGCCCTGAAAATATTTGCACTAATTTAAGACTCACCCTGTATATTCTTTTTTAAAAGATTTATCATCCTTTATCTTCTCTGATTTTACAGTGTATAAAAAAAAGCTATAAAAGAAAACATTCCATTAAAACTTAAATAAGGTTAATTCTGTTAACTATCATTCTTTTGTTGAATATCCTAGAAAAAACTTGCCAGATAAGGCAACTAAGGACATATATATTTTGCAAATGTGGTCTTCCAATTAATACCATTTTTCAGTAAAGAACCTAATGTATGTAATTTATACCGCGTTTAAAAATAATCTTCAAGTTATACTAATCATAAACTCACTAAAAATACCGCATAATCGAAAAAAACGGCGTCCAGTTGTCTTAGAAATGACCATTCCAAATGGCCATCCCTGACGCTGCTTTTTTCGTGATCATATTGCACATATTGACGATTATATTGTTGAAAATAAATCCAAAGAATTTTTGTACCTACTAATGCCGTTACCCAATAGAAAGAATGCTACAATATCTTTAAAAAAAATTATTTTAAATTGACTTTAGAAGTGATTTTCTATATTCTATAACACTATTAAGGATTTTGATATAATAAATATCTATTTTTTTCTCTCTCTGGGTATGTTATGTATCTTCCTCCTTCCATCTTAGGGTCTAACGTAGCCTTTCCTTATTCGCAATGATGACCACTTATAGATTGCAATAATTATATTGTTTAAACTTTAACGAGTACAGTCATTGAAAATGTCTAGAGTGTACCCAGAAATCCACGGCATTGGCCATTTTAAATAATTAGGAGCAATATACTAGCATCGCCAACCACATTTTTTTAGTTCAAGCCACTCTAACTCACTTAAATAATATCTTTTTTTTTTGTTTTCACTCTTGGCTTTAGGTCGTTGGGGTTGCAAAGATGTTTCTAGATTTTGTTCATTATTTTTTTATTTTATGACGACGTTTCGACAGTATATGTCTTTTTCAAGCCTCTTGAACGTAGATTCTTACAGAGTTAAAATTTGTTAAACTGGACAACACAATAACACATATTAACTATTGTTTTTAATTGTTTTTGGACATTACACTTTACTATAGAGCACGTACGTATTTCCTTTGTAGATCGCTCTGTATAAAACACGTTTATCGTTTCAATACCCGATGTCTACTTATTAACATTGAAACTATGAAACTACTTATATACATTGAAACGATAAACGTGTTTTATACAGAGCGATCTACAAAGGAAATACGTACGTGCTCTATAGTAAAGTGTAATGTCCAAAAACAATTAAAAACAATAGTTAATATGTGTAATTGTATTGTCCAGTTTAACAAATTTTAACTCTGTAAGAATCTACGTTCAAGAGGCTTGAAAAAGACATATACTGTCGAAACGTCGTCATAAAATAAAAAAATAATGAACAAAATCTAGAAACATCTTTGCAACCCCAACGACCTAAAGCCAAGAGTGAAAACAAAAAATATATCGTATACAAGTCAAAGAAACGAAAAAAAAAATTAAATAATATCTCTACCCTTTATCACCGTTATTAAATTTATAAGTGCCAGACTAATTCGGTTAGAAAGTTGTCACTCTTCATTCTATTATGATTTTAGTTTAGAAATATCATTATTATCTCATTATTTTTAGTATTTGTTTATAAGACATTTTTACGTATAGTGAAAGTCAAACTTATTTTCAGACAAGGGTTGTATAAACTGTGGTTGTATTGTTAAATATTTTTGTTATAAACAGAATGGACTGTAATAGTCAAAAACATACCACGTATTTGCCAGCTTTATATTATTGAAATCCGCCACTCTCTGAAATGCCTAGTCTTTTCATGTATTGCCAGAGCAAACAGCGTAAGTCTTCAATTAGTACACGCTTGACTGCGGATCTCAGGCATTCCCTGTAATGATGAAATAATTTCAGTGAAGTACCTGAATTATTACAGTTACCCTACGGTTCAAATCTTAAAAATATAAATAAACTACAAACAAATTTAAAAAAAGACTTTTATTTCATTATCAAAGCAATACTTATTTCTATAGGTATCGGTTTTTATTTAAATTAATTGATTTTATTTTTCGGTACAGGTGCGCCAATCTATTTATTATTTGGTTTTTGCATTCATAGAAATTTAACTTTAATATGATAATAATTTCAAATTACAGTGTAATAAAAGATGGTTCACCCTGTATACAGAAATAAGTGCAAATATTTTAAGGGGTGTTTGGTTTGGTTTTTCTTTTAAAATAAATTGATAATAACTGAGTTATTATTTAAATTTGAAAATCTAAAAAATAATGGCAACATTTTGAGAGGCACCGGCAGCAATCGATGATCCGCGGTAAATACGAGGCAATTACCTGGATCTCAGCTTGTTCGACGCCCCAGTGTTGACACATGGACTAGAAAGATTTAAAAACGACTTGGAAAATTCAGATTAACAGTGTTTTTTTTTACTTTTAATCTGAATTTTTATTATACCTTACATTAGAAAACGGGACTTCGATAGATAGCAGATCAATATAATTAGGTTAGAGCGTCGTTTTATCGCTTTACCTAAAACCAGCAAAACCTCCAAACCAGCAAAATTTCAAATGAATTTGATAAACCTAAAATTCAATAAATTGATCTCTGTCATCAGCTGATCGGTTTAAATGTAGGTCAAACGTTGACTCTTAACATATCTAATAGAGGGCGTCATTCAAAGAAATTCTAAAAAAAAAAATATTAGATTTATTCAATATCTTTGGACTCATCGGTTTTGATGAGTAAAAATTAAAATAATATTCCACTAAAAGTTAGAATATGTGACGTTCAGTTTAATAGATATGTGAGTGTGCACTATCAAAATATTTATATGTATATAACTAATTGAGGGAAACAATTAAAAATATTTCGTAATATGACCAAAAAAAGCTGCTATAATAATTGCTCATTATTTAGAGTTTCATAATTTCAGTTTACTAAAGTATAAAAAGGGTATTTCAAATAGTAGGCGTTGAACTATACTTAATAATAATTTACAATGATTAAAAAATCTACAGTGAATAAAATTAATTTAAGTATTTTTGGTAGAAATTTAAAAATGTGAACTTAAAACTTATAAACATACAGAACGTGTATAGCGTAGAAAGTGGCAACATCGCATTCTCTTGAAGCACTATAAACAAATTTCCGGAAACTGAACAAGCGGCACTCAAAAGTTTTTCAATATTTTCCGAAAAATGTCAGAAAGAAATAAAATATACGATTTTTTCCCCAAAAACCAGTTAAAATACTTGAATTTATTTCTGGGATACCCTGTATAAGATTATCAAATAAATATTAGCATATTTTAAGTATTTTAATATTCGCAGTAGGAATTGTGTACCAAGATATTGATTATACAATATCATAATATCGTGAAGATACATTACATGTTATACTCGTAACCACTTAAAATGAATTGTTATAAAATAACGGCGGAGAGAGCAAAATATAATATTTTGTTCTCTCCGTGTATGTCAGCGCGTACCTTTCTCGTCCCATCATCGGACTCATTGGCCAAGCTCTTATTCAGTTTTAGTCATTTTAATTTAATTGTTTGGTTTAGACTTTAACCAGTGTAAACAACGAAGAAGTAGAGAGCGTATCCCGATATTCGCACCAGCCAGGACGGATAACACTCGTTTCGACACTTTCCTGACCCCAAGGATCAGTTTTTATCGAAATCATCGGAAACAATACAGAACGCGATCGTCCAGTCGTGCGAAGATATTTCACATCAATACTTCTGTAATACACTTTTAATTTTTGTTTTTTATAAAATGTCCCTGTGCGTCTATCAACCGCTTAACAGTGACAGAAATGAAGAAGAATTCTGTGAAATTACCTTGACGAAACATTTGGGGCACTCTTTGCCAGAAATTTGTTCGCTGAGTGATGTGGTGAGTGAGCTGAGTAAAGTTTTCGAAAGTGAGAAAGTCAACGTCGAATTGGTGCACTACATCATGAGATCCTACAAATCTAACCCTGCGGAGTGGAAGAAATATGCCAAATTTGATCGATTCAAGTAAGCTAGATGTAGTATTAATTTTATTCTTCTCAATTTTCAGATTATTATGACAAAGCCTATAAAATATTTCCATGTATTAAACCGTTTTTCATCTAGCTAATTATTTTTATAGTAATTTCTTTGTTATTATTAATTGTAAAATTTACAATAAATAAGAATAAGTGTATTTACCACCAGAGCTGCAACAAGTCAATTTTAAAACACTTAAGTCTTAAATCGTTTCTAAAATCAAAATTATTAAGGAATATTAAGTCATTTTTGTAAAGACTTAAATCAATCAAACGTTATTTAAGTCGTTTTTATGACTTAAGTCTATATTTTTGACTTAAATCATGATGATCTGCAAGTTAAGTCAGTAAAATGACTTAAATCAATATAATTGCCCTCATGTCAAGACAACCAGAATTCAATCGTTCTCTTTTTTTAAATATTAATATTAATTTTCTTATATTACCAATTAAACACAAAACATACAAACACAAAAATATGTTTTTTTATAAAATTTAACCGATTTTGTAGTACATTATATGTACCTATTCATAATCATAACATGTCTATTAAAAAGGAGTGATGTGTTTTTATCACTATGTAATATCATAACCAACATGATATACAGGCTAGAGACCTCGATTTGTGACGTCACCGCAATAGTCGGGCTTTTGTATTGTACCCCATAGACTTAAAATAAAATATAGACTACACTATTTACATCTCAACGCGGCCAAACAATCTTTTTTGTATACATGTTTACTTCTGGGTACAGTCGACCGAGCCTTCCTCATCCAGCCTATGATGTCACTTCTTTAATATTATCAATATTTTTTTTCTTGTTACACACATATATTGAGATATTAATACTACAGTTTAATAAAGTAGGTTTTAATATTCCATAGATGTATTAAATAGTCCTTATACTACTAAATTATAAGTCGGATACTGTTTAAAAAGGATAAGTTCTTTACAATATGACAACACCGATTAGAGGCGAGGGAGCCTATTCATTCATTTATTACCTTGTAGTACGCGTCGCACGTGTGCGGTAAAGCTTTGTTGCCGCTATGTCCCCGGCTGTATTAACGCATTTTCTTAGCTTGTAGTCCTTAAGTGTTTATTTTATTGTCCTTTTCTGTTCAAGAACTATAAAATATGGTTCGCCAGTGCCAAATTTGCAAGAAATTTGACTTAAATAATCCATTTAAGTCTTGAAACGACTTTCGACCGGTAGGTAACTCTCAATTTACCCATTGGGAGTCAGTGGCGTTGTTGTAGAAAGGCGCTTATTTAGATAATATTTGAGTAAAATGTAAAATCTGAATTTTTTCTCTTACATTACATTATTTACTTACTTACATTGTAACAAAATCATAATTATAACCCTGTTAATAATTAATAATGTTTTTAATAAATATATATTCCGGTTTATTTTAAAATTATCTTCAGAATCTAAAATAACATATAAGAATTTTAAAATGATAATACATTATGAAACCAATATTTTTTAATATACCGGGTCGTCTCAAAAGTGGCTCACCCCCTATAACTTTTTTATTTTTTCAGATAAAAAAAACAGATTTGTATGTTAGTAGGTATATGACATAAATTAGGATTTATTGACGTATTCAATTGTTGTGTCTCTTCCTGTTTCACCGAAATCATTACATCTTTTGATTTTTAAAGGCACCCTCGCTATATTGCTACTTTATTCGATAAAAAATGACACTCTGAATAGACATATCATATGTCAACTTTTGACATTGTCGCTTATAAACAAATCGTATTTTAAATTTCAATCCAGGGTGCCATGGTGTTGTTAAAAACACTACGTTTTAATCAAGGTGCCTTGGAAAAATAGTTTTGATCGTCTAATAGGTTTCGTGTCTTGTCTAGGTCGGTTAAAAGATGTATAAATCGTATTTTTAATCATACATATGTCAATTTTTTCAAATGGAACAAGGGTGACTCATTGCATATTTGGAAAAAGCATTTTTTTATGAATATATTGATACCACACACTTGGTATTTCGAGTCAAATTGTCGTTATGAACCGCGTGTTACAATTACAATTAAACCATATGCAAAAATGTCAAAAGTTGACATATGATATATGTCATTCTATTCAGAGTGTCATTTTCCATCGAATAAAGTAGAAATATACCAAGGGTGCCCTTTAAAAATTAAAAGTTATAGTCATTTCCGGTGAAACAGGAAGTGACCAAAAACAATTGAATGCGTCAATCAATCCTAATTTATGTTATATACTAACATACTAAATCTTGTTTTTTTTATTTGAAAATATAAAAAAATTATGGGGATGAGCCACTTTTGGGACGCACCCGGTATAATGAAGACAGTACCGAGTTAAATAAATGTAGTTTTCATTTTATCCACTTTCTATCACCTTCCTTGCTTTAATGGAACAGGTTTATGTTTTCTCTAATTTACATAATAAGACATCACTTAACCAGAAATAAAATTACAACAATCATATTTTTTTTTTCTCCCTGTCGCCGATTCTATTATATCTGTGGAATAGATCCTGTTTTGATTAATATTAGGGGTTGTAAATGTTTGACTAAAATTAATAATTTATTATTAATTTCAAAAATTACGTAATTTCGATTATAAAATTTCTTCTATGACGTGTATTTTAATATTTTTATCCTTTTTGGACTCTAAGACGTTTTTTCTAAACTTTTATTTAAAAAACCTGTCTTAAATCTTAATAAAATATAAAAAAGTTTCAATACGATATATTTTTAATTTAATTATAGCTTCATTAAAATAAAAAAATTACCCGGCTATGATACGGAGAGTTCAGGTGTACTTGAGAAACGAAAGACAGTGTTGTGTTTCTCGGCAGAGTCGTCAGGGAACGACCGTTACGACAGAGACAACCTATCTATCGCTCGTGTTGCACTCGTTATAACCTAAAACAATAACACAACAATAACAAGACAGTGTCTGACCGCATGTTCCAGCTATTTATGAAAGAGATGCTCAGTCTATATTTTATTTTAAGTCTATGATTGTACCATATAGTACTGCATATAGTTTTAACGTTGAAAATGTTTCTGTTATCCTATATAAGGGAGCCCAAATCGAATTAAAATGCTACATTTGCCACACCATGACGTCATATATACAAGGGTATAGGAAATCTCGGCGCAGCGGCGGCAGTCGGCCAGCGCGCGCAAAAACCATTACATCGCTAATTGTTTATTGATATATCCCCAAAAATCGAATTAAAATGCTACATTTGCCACACCATGACGTCATATATACAAGGGTATAGGAAATCTCGGCGCAGCGGCGGCAGTCGGCCAGCGCGCGCAAAAACCATTACATCGCTAATTGTTTATTGATATATCTTTATTAGTTTAAAAGCAAAAAATATGGGGTTTGCTTTGATACATTGTCAAGACATAAGCGAAACTTTTAAATTGTTTCTTTTTTTTATTTAGGCCTTCGTTTTTCGTTAAATGAAAGTTATATTAAAAAAAATCTATTTTTAAACCAAATTTTCGCATGATTGAAATGATTATTCATGTTTAAAGTTTTTTTTGGTCATAAGCGCTAATGGAAATGTATTTTTGTAAATAATTATAAAAAATTACTCCCTACGAAGACTTTGTTGTGTACTGGATCAAAAAATAAGTATTTGTTTTCTCTATACGGTGGTATTAATATATCGATTTTTGATGATAGTGCCCTTTGACCAGGTCTAATTTTGTACTACTTTCGGAATAAGGGTCCCCATATCATGTACTGTACTTCCATCCCTGAAAAATTCAGCTTGTGACACCGAAATGAGAGGTAACGTCAAAATAAGCTTTAATCTACCTACATCTTAGGTAGGTGTAGGTACTCTAGGTATATTCTACCTAGACAGTAGCTGAACTAGCTGACAGTAGTAATCTTTGGTAGTAATTTATTTGTTATCCGATAAGTAGTTGTCATTATATGTATAAGTTTAATCATCTTATACCTCCTATAACGGTAGGTTTTGGATTTTTCCTGATTGGTTTGTTAAGCAAAAATATACTGGGCATATAAATGTCTGTTACAGGTTAATTCGTTAAAGAAATATGTTACACACAGATTATTTTAATAATAATAGTATAATAGTAATGGCTATATTATGTTATAACACATACATATGTATTGAATGTACTTATTTTAACCAATGCATTCAGGGACGTAGCAACAGGGGGTGCAAGTGGTGCGGCGCACCAGGGCCCGGGGCCCTGGGGGGCCCGGCACCGCCCTAGCGGCATTAGCTCTTGCAACCCGATTCTAAATTTGACTTTTAGCATTATTTGAGAATATGTTTTATATATAGATAACTTTTTAAGTTAAAAAGTTATCTAATGACAAAAAAAATTATTGGTGTCATGAATAGGGTGTCCCATAAGTCATGGATCAAATTTAAATAGGAGATAGGGGAGGTTATTTCCAACAAAAAAAGTGCTATAAACAATAAACATGTATCCTAAAATGGCTGGTTTTCAAGATACAGGGTTATTGTTGTTTCTTTACACAAAAACCGTTCGTCGGACAAAAAAATGTCAAGAGGCCATTTTTGACAGCAACTAGTAAGAGGTTATGAAAATAATTTTTATTTTGGAAAAAAAGCAGTGGCGTACCGATTTTTCATTGAATAAAATTGTCATTTTTCACTTTCAACACACTGTATCTTGAAAAGCAGGTATTTTAGGATACATGTTTATAGTTTTTTTTTGTTGGAAATTACCTCCCCTATCTCCTGTTTAAATTTGATCGGTGACTTATGGGACACCCTATAAAATAACTAAATTTTAAGTTGTCTAGTTTTGCATTCAGCTGCGATATGAGTCAGTACAAACATTTGTCGGAGCTGAAAAGCGAAAACGGAAAGAAACTGAAAAACGTGAAAGGGAAAAACTTCCTAAATTAACTTCCTTTTTCCATCGTGTTTAGAAAAATACAGTTGAATTATCTGAATTGTCTGAACCTGAAAA